CATGCGCGTCCACTGGAGAATCAGGAGAATTGTAGATGTCGAACGCGGTGTGTAGAGGAGGAAGGGTGCACAGATGGTGGAGGAGTGAAGCGCGCGCGGTGTGTAGAGGAGGAAGGGATGCACAGATGGTGGAAGAGTGGGCGACGGCGCGACGACGCATGCGCGCGCGTCAGCTGTCGAATGTTCGACAAGCGGTGCGGACGGCGCACTACAAGGCGCGAGTATAAGATGCTCCGCATCTAATAGGGTGTTACGTGACGTCGTTGGATGAAGAAATATATGACTGGTGCAAACATGATAATCCTGACACACTTGTCATGTAACAACATAACATCATACCACGCTCATAGCGTGCTCGAGGACGTTTCGCTAGCTCCACATATACTAAATTTGGCATCAGGTGACGTGCATAGATTACGAAAATAATCGCCACTACAAACATGATAATCATGAGACGGAAATCATGTACGGTATCGCTTACCTCCACCTCGTAATGTTGTGGTGATATTAAAGTGACATAAAAAATTTTTATTCGTGCTTCGCATATCATTCATTCCCACTGTACGTGGGATCTGCCAATTTTTTTCTAAATATATATGCCCGCGCGGCCAAGGGACGGCTTTCAGCTCTCCCATGGTAAAGTACCGAGTACTCCAAATCGTTAACCACTTTTTAGATGCGGAGCATCTAATACTCGAGGCTTGTAGTGCGGCGCCGTCCGCAAGCTTCCTCCTCCTTCTTCCACCATCTGTGCATCCCTTCCTCCTCTACACACCACGCGCGCTTCACTCCTCCACCATCTGTGCACCCTTCCTCCTCTACACACCGCGTGCGCTTCTCCTCTTCACGAACATTCGTTAGCTGTATAATGTAGCGCGCATGCGCCGTCACGCTTCGAGAACATCGGCAGCTGACGCGCGCGCATGCGCCGTCGCGCTTCGAGAACATCGGCAGCTGACGCGCGCGCATGCGCCGTTGCGCTTCTCCCCCTTCTCGAACATTCGACAGCTGACAGTGCATGCGCCGTCGCGCTGTATATATACTCAAGGTCGGTGCTCGCTCGCTCAGTTGCCGCTCGTCGGTTGGTTTGTACGGCGCGTCGACGTCCGAGGTCGCAATGATCGACGTCCCTTCGACCAGCGCCGGCCAAAGTGGCATCTAAAAGCCATCGTGCTCAAAGTTCGTCGCAATAAATAAACACCGCCCTTTCGCATACGTGTCGTACGTGTTCACTCATTTAACACTCCTCCTACAACCACGTTAACCAATTTAGCCAGCGACCCAAGTAAGTCGCAATTTAACACCCCATTTCACAACCACGTTAACCAATTTAGCCATCGACCCAAGCAAGTCGCACTTTAACACCCCGTTAACCAATTATATGCTCCGCATCCTCCTCAGTGTTCCCCCGAGGGAAGCTGCGGGCAATTTTTGTAAACTCATTTGTACGGGGTACGGGGTCTGTCGGAGGTGTCTATTCTTGCCCGTGCTATATTTCCTCAGCCTTGAGACATTTTTGAGTGCTGTAGACGCGAATTCGTACGCCGTCCGGGGTCCGGCGCTTTCTGGCAGCAGTGTCGCGAAATTCTTAACTCTTGCTGACGATATAACCCTGTACTTTTCAGATGAAAACAGGACAGCAGCGTTCCTATACGGATGCTTTGCTTTCCCCTTGGCGTCCCTACTAGCCCTGCGCTTTCTGTTGCGCCTCGTACAAGGAGAAGAATCCTTCGCGCGAGCTCTTGCGTATTACTTTCTTGGCACTCGCCTCCAGCATTTGATGTCTAATGTGCATATTATCGCTTCCTGCATTTTATGCAACTGCTGCATTTTTTTGTCATGTCTAGTTGATCTGTGCTCCAGTAGATGTGCTGAGTAACCCCATTGTTAACAGGAAAGCTGCTTTATTGCCCCTGTTAATTCTTCCATGCTCGCCGTGCTCGCTCTTGTATGTGACTTGGAGCACGCACCAGGACACCTATACGACAGTTCATGTGGCGCCTAAGTTGGCTTTTGCTTCCCACTCGCGATCATCTCGAGCAGTGAAGAACGACCCAGTCAGCAACTTGTCCGAACTGCTCTCTTAAGAAAACAAATCAGCATGTTCTGGGGCAATGTGTCATTGCTCGTATTTTCTCGAGGGCCCTGCATGCCAGATTTCGCGGCCTTGGAGGGAATCGCTTTCCTCTGGTCGTTATTCTCGACGCCGCTTCGCATCTTTTCTCATTGTTGTTGGGCCTTACTGTCTTTAGCGCAATCGCTGCGAGGCGCTCGCAGCGTGACGTCACCGTCGCACTCTCTTCCCGATCTTGGAACGACTGTGCACAGAGCTATCTGTTCTATTAAAATAACTCTTCTTTCTAGTTGAGGAGGAATTCCTTCGGCACTGGTCCTGCCCTTTTGTATTTGTGACAGAGATGCGAAACTTGTATTTCGGCTTACATGGTTTTTGTAGGCTAATGCCTCGTTCGGTACCAACAGAAATGCCATGTAAATAAGCAAAATGTACATATTCACGTTTTATTTGTGCTTTTTCTTTACCATGTAATGTGCATACGTATACATATCTTTGTTTGTAACAAATCCATGTGTGTGCGCGCGCGCGCGCGCGCGCGTGTGTGTGTGTGTGTGTGTGTGTGTGTGTGTGTGTGTGTGTGTGTGTTTGTGTGTGTGTGTGTGTGTGTGTGTGTGTGTGTGTGTTGTGTGTGTGTGTGTGTGTGTGTGTGTGTGCACTCTCCATGTTCCATGTAATTTCATGTTTTGTGTTCAGGTAGCTGAACTCTGTTTTAGCATTCAGGTAAACGTATGATATAATAATTTTTTCTAAACACAGATAGTTTCCTCACATCGCTAAGAAAGGCATAAAAACATCGTGGCAACTTCGCTCTAGGGGCGACAAGCCTGAAAGAAAAGTGCACCTGGGTGGCCTAGTTTGATGATGATGATGATGATGACGATGATACCTTTTTTCTTCTTTTCTTTATCATCTCTTTCTTTCTCTCTGTTTCCTATATCTCTATTTTGTATCTGCTTCTTTCTACGTGTTTTTCTCTTTCTTTGTTTCTCTTTATTTCTCTATGTCTCTGTTCTTTATCTGTATTTTTTGTCTTACTCTTTGTTTTCTTTTTCTGTCTCTTTCTCGCGTCTGTTTTGCACTGACTCTTCTTCTCTGTGTCTTTATGTTTTTATGTCATTTCTTTTCTGTTTCTTTTTATCTCATACTTTCTCTCGGCACTCGCCGAGAGCAAGTATGAACACGAACGAGAAAGTTCGTTTTCTTTTGACATGTGCACATGATGTAAACGGGGGCTTGACCAATCCCTGTGGCGCATACCCCCTGGAGGAGCTTTCTGGTAGTGACGCCGCACGACCCACGGTGAGCTACAGCAGCTTCGGTGGTAAAAAGCGATATAACGTTCTGCAGAACGTTCATGTCTCTGCGCAACATTAGAACACTTGAAAACGAAGGCCTGCTGCACACTCGGTAATTCATTCAGTTATGAAGTCGTGGGGCAGACGTTGTAAAACATAACAAGCCACAGTGTGAGAGACAAGCGTCAAGGCACCTGAACGTTCTCAGGCAATTGCATTGTCGCGAGAAAACCAAACACCGTCGGCATTTCGAATTCGGCAGACAGGCATGAAAATAAATATTAGCCTGATTTGAAAAGCGATGGTGTTCTTTGTCGAGCCTTTCATGTCAGGCATCGTTGGTAAAGTATGTGGGCCTTATAAACGGGTATGCGGGCTCAATCTCACCGATCACCACTGGTTCACTAAAGATGACGGCAACAGTTCGCCTATCAAACGGGTATGTGCCACAGAAATTTGGGCAGATTGATCAGAAAACTATCATAATAAAAAGTGTATGTGTCACAGAAATTGCGTCAATTCCACTACACACAACTTTCACTAAAAGAGAAGAAGACCAATAAATGGCGCACGCGTTACCATAGTAACAGCACTGTCACTTGATACGTTATAAAATTCCATTCCACAACCTCAAAGCTTAACAATGAGTGTTAAATAAGAAGCTATGAAGTGTAACATTTCGGGCTCTTTTTCTTGTTTAGACGCAATAATAACAAAAACTAACAGATGATGATGTCAAGGAAAGTATAAGGGATGTCGCTATCAGTAATTGTGATGTAAGGGTGAAGGCAAAAAAGTGGACGAGTGGATAACATGGCGTCGGCATGGACTAAACCTGACACTACCACATTTGAATGCATGTCTATATGTCCCAACATGACGCGGACGGAGGGATGGATGCCGCCGTAGCTCAGTTGGTGGAGCTTGGGTCTCGCAATTCAAATGGCGCAGTTTCGGATCGTGCATGCCGGTGGCAAGTTATCTTTTGGTCGACTTCTCTTTCTTCACGTTAACATAGCAATTACTGCTAATAACGTCCCATATACTTTTTTGGCATCACGGTTTTTTTTTTTTGGTTCCCATTAGTAAAGAACAGGGATACAACGTATCGGAGCATCTTAAGCGAACACTTTTTTGTAAACATGCGTATAAGAAGGGTATGGCCAAGATGCAATAAAACTAAACTACCACGTCAAGGATTAACAAAGAGTGATACAATGTACCTAAAGGACTTGCATACATAAATTGCCTAGCCGGACTAAGAGAACACGACCAGCTTCGCTGTTTAGTTGGTTGAATTTCGCTGGTTGAATTTTTTTTTTACTTTATGACGTATAGCTAGCATTTCTTGGGTCATTCGCAATGAGTATCGAGGTCAGCTGGCATGTTAATTAGTGTTTTGTGAATGAGAAAAGTGAAATTGCTGAGTAAGCACTGCATAACTTTGTCGGCCTCGAAGGCTGTGGCTCATGCTGATGATGAGAGCGATTACGAAATAGCAATACCTGTAAACTTGAAGTAGCAACGACTGATTTCGATTGCCGTTTAGAAGTGAAAACATTTACGAATTCCAGGCTCGACGGGCAATCTTCGCGTATAACGCGAGTTTTCGTATTGCGCTGACGCAGGAGCGGGCAGTTGTGCTTCCGGCCACCTCTGGAGGAAGTACGCTCACGCTACTACCAGCAGGTCAAGAGATTCCTGGCCCTGCCACTGCACTTTCGCGGCGTCAGTGATGACCTGGCGGTGGAGCAGAGCCTCGTGTTCTCGGTCATCGTGGACCGGAACGCCCACCAGTTTGTGGACCTATACAGGCGCACGCAAAGGCTCTTCGCCTCCGTTCAGGCCTCCGCAAGTCGTTTTCAGGTACAGCATGCACGTTCGCACCTACGGACAGGAGCACTACCCGTTGTAACACACAGACAGATGATTGCGCTAGAATTGTCCATAGCAAAAAACCTAGAGGATTTGCTGAGCAATCGCATTCGACTACCCGAAATCTAAAACCATTTTTGCTTTCTCAGTCAATGTATTGACCCCACCCCCACCCCTTCCCTCCTTCTGAAAGTGTGGTGAACCTAACATAACTTTGCGTGGCCTCTAAGATCGGACGCAATGCAAGTTTTCCGCACCTCGCCTGGTTTAGAACTACCTCTGTGATCGGTCCACCTTTGACCAAGCGATGGCATCATGAGACGGCATCTCGTGACATCGTGTCATGATGACGTCACACGTTCACGAGATTCATGACGTCAAATGGCGACGTAATTAAGCGATCGTGATTCTTCGCATCACTCGCGTTGACACCACCGACGCCGAAAGTAAGTTTTCGCGTTTAATAAGGCATTTAGGGTTGTAGGTTTTGAAAAAAAAATACGCCAATCTTTCACGAATTTCCTTACTGACATCTCTATTTATCAAAAGGACTTGTTTTGGGGCGAGGTAGTGTTTACCTGATAGAGATGACTGAGGCACACAAAATATTTCGTTTCACGAAATGTTCTTTGCGCATCAGTCATCTGCACCAAGTTCTCTATTTACGATGTTTTTTTTTTTTTCAGTATAGGGGAACGAGGTATGCAATTCAAGAGAGGTTCGCAAGAAGACGCGCTAGTATTTTAGCTTGACTGAGCCACGTCATCGGTTAAACAAAACGAGAGCGAGGCAGTTAGGTTTACGAACGAAACTTGCTATGCATTTGTTAGCTTTAGATGTCGGAGAAAAGTTACGGAAGCCTCCACCAGCATTCAGCCGCAAATTGGTTATAAAAAATTAGAATGCTGCAAACGTACTCCCTCCCTTACTGGGTTACCTTTGTCCTTTACGCAATGAGGAGCTGTGGGACAATGATCTCTGTGGCGTACCACCCGAGGCCCTCTGAGACATGATACAGAGGGGGGCGACTCGTCGATAGTCATTTTAGGGACCCCGTGGTATACTATACGAGATAGCTCAGTAACGCACGCTGTCGCGCTAGTTGGTGTGTACTATGTGTAAAACATCGTCGGCGCAAACTTGAAAGAAGACCAAAGAAGAGACTCGGAAAAGTGCGCTTTTCCGTGTCTCTTCTTTCGCCTTCTTTCAAGTTTGCGCCAACGATGTCTTACACATACTACGGGATCCCTAGAATTACTCCAGCGAAGAGTCAAGTTCTTCCCATGCTCTCTTTCTCAATCAAGACATCAATAAAGACATTTCACTATCTCTCTCTCTCTCTATGCAGGAATGGGTAGCCCTGAGCTCGTTAGACTTACAGACCTTTACCGAGGGTCTGTCCCCGGAGGACTGGAAGAACAGTTTTCGTACTGTCAAGGCCAAGAGCCAGGAGTTTGGAAAGGCGTTCCCGTAAGTGCATGCTTGTTAACACCCTTCATGGGATTGATAAAACTTACTATCTACGTCAAATGAAACCCGAACAGTGGCAAGCCTTCGCGATGGTATAGTGCGCGCCGTCTAGTTATCCCTATTGACAGGCGCGCGCATCCTGTACGGCAGCTCTGCGCATGTATGTGGGCCTGTTCATTGTGATCTTCCATGTGTGCCTGTCCATTGCCCTACTTCAAACGATTATGAAATGGGCAGAGACTCATTATGAAAGCTGTAGGCGCATGAAGACGGTATCAAGAAGACGACACACACGGCGATATTTTGAAGCATTAGCCTCTGAAAAACCCCAAAGAAAGACCTCGTGCATTTACCGATTTCATAATGCCGCTGTACCAACTAGGACCCAGCTTCTGAGCCCGTAACTCTGTGACATGTTGGGATGCCAAGCTTAAGTGCGAATATTTTTTCTTTATTAAACGGCAGAAAGGGGGAGATGGAAGCTCACGAGGGAAAAAAAATCCGTTACTGGTTCTAACCCCGCAGAACACACTTGTCGGAACGTCGGCCCAATCACACAGCCCCTGTTTACGAATATATTATTGAGCCACTTAGATGATATATAGTCGTAGATTTGTACTATAAACAGTTTGTTCGGCGTCGCCAAACACGAAGTAATAATAAATACTGGATGTGTCTCAAGGGTAAGAAATAAGTGTAAATAATACAGAGTGATGACATAGATCTATATCGCCCAATACTGTGACTTAGTTTCTAAGGTGTCGTACAGCTGATCACGTGGCAGTGGTTTTAACTTCTTGGTTGCAGCGGTTGCATTTATATGGTGGCCGTGTGCTGAGAAAATCATGTACCGATATTAAATGTGCATTATAAAACACTAGATATTCATAATTATTGCGGAGGAGGAGGTAAAACTTTATTAGACCAAGAGATTCGGGCACTTACGTCCGAGGGTCCCCGCACGACCCCACTGCGCTATGCGTTCATGAGTTCATGCAGTTCCATGACGTGGGCGGCCCGGTCAGTGGCGTCTGTCTCTACGGTTCCTTTAACAACCACGCAGTTTGTTGCGATATGTGGTTAAAGTGCGATAGAATCTGACCTAAAGCGATCTCTCGAGATAACAAATATAGATTCTCTGGCCGCCACTGGGGATCTGTAAGTTATCTTAGTCACAATATTCCTTGTGTAATCTGTTTAGTTTAAAAAGTGCATTCTTGACAATTAAATTTGGGGAAGCCTGGCTTTCTGAGAGCCGTAGTATTTAGGAATTCACTTTGTTGGGGAAAGTGCATTCTTTAAATGCGCTCAGGAGCTTTCAGAAAGGAAAAAAAAAAAAATCACCGCCTAAGCATTCCGTACAAATGATCAACGAGCGAAAGCTGAAACGTATGGCCCCGGTGTTTCGCAGTGGGTCCAACGCGACGTGGCACTGAAGCATTTCAACATTACTGCTTACATTCCCGTGCTATTTAATGAAATTAGACACCCCTTCCGCTCGGGTTCACCACAGTGTTTACTTCGCATGCCACACATAGCGTCTCGCATGATCACGGTCATAGAGGAATGCAATGAGCGGTTAAATGCTTTTCGCAATACGTTAATCACAGTGGTTGTTCTCGAACCACAGGTGGTCAGAGACGTCGCAGCCGAAGCCAATGTGCTGCTGGAGAAACTCCCGCCAAAAGCACCGTTCGCCCCAGCGAACGCTCTACCGCAGTCATCACATTGACGCCGCAACTCCGCGCTGTTGAAAGCGTCTGACATCGCGAGCCAACTCGGCGGTTTCGCTTCTCTTGCCCGAGAAGCTTTTGCTTCTCGGGCAAGAGAAGCTTCTGCGCGCGAGCTTGGCACCACGGCTGCGATGACGTCACTCACAACACAGTCAATGGTACGCGCCTGGGAACGACCTAGCTGATAACACAGCCAATGGAGACCACTCATGACACCGATGCCGAACGGATTTTCGTCTCTGCTAGCCGTATACAACTTTCGAGGTAAAAAAAAAACGAAAGCAGGAAGGTCAACTAGGGGTGTGATCCAATACTCACCGTAGACGGCTAAATAGACAGCTAAATGGACGGCGGCCATCTTAAGTCTCATTCCAATTCTCACGTAGCCGGCAAAGTAGACAGCTCCGAGAAGACCACATCGTAGACAAATACGATGCAGGCTACTTTGCTGTCTAAACAAGATGGCGGCTCAGCGAATCGCTCAGATAGACCGGATCTCGCCGGAATGGTCGTCTGCACACAAGCAGACGCTTCCCCAGACGCTCAATGTAAGTGGCGTTTATTTGTTTTTGCTTTCAACACGAAATAGGCCAGAAAATACAACTGTTGCGTTTGTTTATTTTAGCCTTTTCTTCTCGACGCGAGGTGGCGCACCGTCGCGTAAAAGCCGCGACGGTGCGCCACCTCGCGTCGAGGTGGCGCACCGTCGCTTATATAAAGGAAAAAAAAAAGATAAATGTAATGGTTAGTTCACTAAGTATTACGGCTAGGTGGCGTTAGCCGCCGCCCGATCTAAAGGGTACAGCCACATCCATCCATCCATCCATCCAGCCGTCGAGACGTGTTGCAATTTTCAGACAGCATGGGCTCGAAGCTGTCTTCTAAGCAGTCTGCGTAGACTGTCTACTTGCTGTCTAAGAATCGGAACACAGCCTAGAAACATGCCTGGTTGCCTTCCTTATTCTGGGCGAATGACAAAGGGGGTAGAAAGATGAGAAAGTGTCTTGAGTTACAATGTTATTCCTCATGCGAAAATTACCTTAAGCAATAACAGATGCTATTATTCTTTCAGACTGCTTGTCTGTGTGTAGTTCATTAGCTGCGCCTAATATGTCCAATGCTTTAAAAGTATTTTACGACCTTGCCCCAAAACATTTACGACTCATTCGCTTAGTGTGGATACCAGGGCATAAAGGTTTAACCCTCAATGAATATGCAGATGCACTCGCAGTGGCCTCACATAATTATCCCATAATTTCTATATTACCGACGCTAGCATTTATTGCCGTGGCACGCTTTGAAAAATTTGTCATGTCAGATCAGTTTGGAAATTCTCGCTTGGCAACATCGGATTTTTCTCATCTGAAGTACCCTTGGAAAAATCGATGGTGCTCCTCTAGAACGGCGGAGATATCAATTACGAGACTAAGATGCCGAGTCCCCCTTTGAACTTTTATCTACACAGGTCTGGTCTGGCACAGTCTCCCCTATGCCTCCACTGCAACGAGAGTGAATACCTTCACCATTTCCTCTTAACATGCAGGTTATACACAAACCAACGGAGGAGACTGTTAGAAGAACCTCTCCGTAGGTTGGCTCTAAATTTATTCCTTCCGGTGGTCCTCTCCTTTGGAGCAACTGAAAAGGGATTTAGCCACAGGAATGTTTGCGAGGCCGTATGCGACTTTCTAAATGCAACAAAACGATTAGAATGTTAAGCTGAGGCATAAATTCACTTTATTTCAAATTATATTTGCCTATTCGTTCTTTTTATTACCTCTATTTTATTTCTAATCTATCGTTTTCCCATTGGTTTTTGTTTAAACATCGTTATCTAAATAATCAGGGTGGTAAAACAACTCCACCTCACAAATGAGGCAGCGTCAGTTTCATGGCCGATCCCCCGTGGTGGGTAGCGCCAGGACTCTGAGGAACAACTAACCAACCAATCCTCATGCTGGCAGCACCACCACACCGCCAGAACTCGAAGCCGTGGCGAGCTATGTAGATGTAGATGTCTCGTAATTATATCTGTGTAGCTAGATTCGTCGCTATATGTATACACGTCCCGAAGGCTGATGCCCACAGAAAAAAAATAAAACGTGGCTGATCCCCCTATACAGGATTCAGTATAATACGAAAGTGAAACATGTCTTTACAGAGGTAGTTGAGCGTTTTTGCGCATTGTTTTAGCAACGGCAACAAATTGTAAAGTCACATTTAAGAACGGTGCGCAGCTGAAAACTTGCAGCGCACACCTCAAGCAGAAAGCACGCACAAAATTAGCATACACAGGTAGAGTGCGGACTAACAACGGTCACAGCTCGACATTAAAGCGCGCTGTTCGAACTCAAAGAAAGGCGCACAAAACGAGCGCAGAAGTGTACACAGGGCACTGCGCAAATAAGTGTCTCACTTCTTCCTGCGTCATGAGTCAGCAGCGTGCTCCTTTCGTAAACGCGGTCGCGGCAGCGTGCGAAGTGACCTTCGTGTTCTCTCGAATTACGAGTCTGATAAGCGCGCGTGGCGGAGAGACCACGCTCTGTGGAGGTGACGATCTTTAGAGCACGCCTAATGCAAGCTTGTCGCGCCATCTCGCCACTGTTGACAGAAACGCGCCAAAGTTTCGAAGCTCTGAGGACTTCCAAACGGTGTATGGTGTATATAAATGACTTGCCGTTGGCACTCAAGGCAATGCTTCGTTGCGTAGTGGTCAGCGCCGCGCACTGAGAATCGAGAGGGCGCCGGTTCCATTCCGCCCGACAAATACTTGCCTTCTGGTTTATTAAAGACGATAGTCTTTCTTGGGGATCTTCGACGCAAAAATTTTGGTCTGCCTGTCTGTCCATTTGTCTGTTTGTCCACTCTTAATGGCATTGGATACCTGAAACGGCTGACCCCATCCGCCGCGCCCACCAATGTTGCTCAAGATTTAACGTTCATACTTGTGCAATTTTCATGTAAAGAGCAATTATTGCGCTTGTCTGGGGCACCATAACAACCCATATATATTCTGCATGTGCATCATTTGCTATAAAAGGCATACATAAGTAATTTTAAGGACCGTAGCGCTTATCACGCTGCGCTGACCATTCAACGCTTGCACAAAAAGGCGAGTGTTTCCAACGCTTTGCTAAGATGAGACGGTGGTGGCACCTACCCGTCGCCTTGCGTTCTACACCTTATCACCTCTGAGACGAACGCGCACACCTGTCTCAGAGCCACGCGCTTCGTTTTCCAAGAAAACTGCCAGATGGCGCTCATGTCTCACGTGTGACGTGACTTGATGTGCTCGTTCGCCTCCGTTGCACGCTCGAGGCACTCTAACGTAGCGCCTCCAGAACTCCATTCACTGATTTTCTTGCGCAGAACAAATAAATGTTTTGTTCACTCTCTCCACACGCAAGACAATAGTCGTTCGGTGATATCTGCAGATTAATATGCAGATACGGGGCCAAGTTTTTCTTTGTAATCTCTCTGCATGTATGTTTTCAACGTCTTTGTGTGTGTGACGGAAATACTTTAGCGGAGCCGGGATGGACCCCAGCATAAAGCACTTTCGTGTTAAAATATCTCTGAGATTTACTTGGTTTATTGCTCCTGGAGTGCTGTATACAGGTGATGCAACCACTCCTTCCGCAGCGACGAGGAGCGCTTCGAGTGCCTGGTGGTGAGCTACGCTCCGGTGCGCTCGCACGTGGACTTCGCGCTCTCAGAGCTGGAGTCGGGCCTGGTGCGCGAGCTACGTGCCTCGGTGGCACGTGACGCAGCAGCCGTGCGGTCCTACCTGGAGTCCTCCCTTGACGCGCTTGCCGGCAATGCTCAGACGGCCGAGGAACTGGCGCAGCTGAGCGCGGCTTTCGGCCGCACAGTTTCGGGCCGCGACCAGGCGGCATCCATGCATGCTGCAGCTCGCGACAAACAGCAGTTGTTGGCACGCTGGTCTCGGCGCCCGCCCCCCGCCGACATGGACGGACTTCAGCAGCTGTGGCACACACTGGACGACAAGCTACACCAGCACAGGGACGTTGTAGCACACCAGGTCGGGTAACTTATGGTCGAAGCTTTGGAGTCAAGGTGAAAAATGATCGGAACGCGACATTCGAGGCAGTTTAGCCAACACGTTTCGTAAATTATGTTGGAGGTTTACTAATAAATCATCAGTACTTATTTAGGAGGTCGTACGAGCTAAGCAGGGCATTTATAGTAAAGAAAGAATATGCTATCGTGGAATGTAGTTTTTTTATCAGCACTGGTAAGCCCCATGGCAATTTAAGTAAAACGGTGCTCTGCCTAAGAACGCCCAGCAACGAAGGCTCAGTAGATGCATGAAAGCACTGCATGAAGGTCACTCCGACGAAGGTCCCACATATAAATATTCCGAAACATTTAAAAACACTAAACAGCATGTTGAGGCTTTCTGCGGCTTTTGGTTGTATACCCCATGCTGTATAAGTTACACGTTTTTTTTAGGTATATAGTAGCGCGCTGATTGTTGTACTATTTGTTCTTATACGGCCACATAATTTCAATAGTAAGGGGGCCGAAAGTAGAAGTGCAGTATTTTCGAGACCTTCCAGCTTATTTCTAATTTGTACTTATGTCCTGTGGAAGAACTGAGCTTGATCTTGTTATTTCGGGAAAACTTACAGAATCTCTCAGCGAAGTAGTTCAATGTTCGTGTGGGGGGTTGCATTCTGTGAAGTCATGTTATTGACCCTTGATAATACATATCAGCATTGCACCATCTGCAGATGGAGGTGCTGAAGGCCAATGTATCGGCCCGCCTAGAGAACTTCGAGCAACTGCGTGAGCGTTTCCTCGCCCGCTGGGAACAAGCACGTCCCCGGCTGGGTGACGAGGCGGCCAACCTTTTGGGCGAGCTGCGGGTCGAACTGGATGCGCTGTTGGACGCACGCCGCCGGCTGGCGTGAGTTTCATGTTTTGTGATCTAAGCAAGCAAGGGATGCCCCGCCGCAGTGGTCTAGTGGCTAAGGTACTCGGCTGCTGACACGCAGGTCGCGGGTTCAAATCCCGGCTGCGGCGGCTGCATTTCCGATGGAGGCGGACATGTTGTAGGCCCGTGTGCTCAGATTTGGGTGCACGTTAAAGAACCCCAGGTGGTCGAAATTTCCGGAGCCCTCCACTACGGCGTCTCTCATAATCATATGGTGGTTTTGGGACGTTAAACCCCACTTATCAATCAGCAGGCAAATGATCTGCAAGCCCTCTGCTGTATATTCCCACTGGAAACTTATCGCACAGCACTTACGTGTGCGATAAACATAATATTGATCGTTTAAAACCTGTCCGGGGGCTCATTTTGCCTACGTCATCAGTACTGCTGACCTCTTTGCATGGATAAGTTTACAACGCAATATATAAAAAGAAGAATTGCCGTATTGTACCATTTAGAAAACTCTTTCCCAGCACTTCCATGTGCACCACATTGTGTAAAAATAAGAAATGCCTAATCGTAATTTAACCTAATAACATCCTTTAATGCGAATTTATGGAATATATTGTGCTTTCTTATCATTTGCTCTCTTCATAACAATCTTTAGGTGGTTCCCGAAGCCACAATACCATTGCAAGAAACGCCGTAATGGAGGGCTCCGGAAATTTTAACCACCAGTGATTCTTTCACGTCTACTTGAATCTATTAGCACACAGGCCTCTAATGCATTTCTCCTCTATCAAAATGCGGCCACCTCAGCTCTTATTAGATAACGCTACCTTCGTGCCACAGTCAAGTAGCACGAACAGCGCTCTTTTCTATTCTTGTATCTTTGCTCCCGCAGTTACACTGTAACTACTTTTAAGTTGCGCTGTTCGTATATTCAGTCATGCCCTACGAACTTGCCCACGTTTCCACGCTTCATAGCTAGAATGGCAGCACAATCATTCGCTGTCTTTCCACTCTTAATATTGAACGAGTGAGGCCCGTCCAACTGGTCCAACTTTTTGAGGTACTTACTTTTTACACAGTTCCATTTATTTTTTCCGGGAACAGGGAATGTGTTCGTTGCTGAGGTTCCCGATATTTGCCGCGGCTTTCGCGTGGCTGTGCCGTTATGGACACGGCAGCATACGAGACAGTGCGACTGCGCAGGTCGGAAGCGGAACAACTGGGCATGGCAGGACCCGGTGAGCTGACCACGACCGAGCAGGAGCTGCAGGAGGCCGAGGCGTCCTGGGCACTACGCGAGCAGTTCCGCAAGGAGCTGCAGGAGCTCAGCCAACAGCAGTGGATCCTCATGAGGCACGTAGGCAGAAAAAAGTATGGAGAGCAGAAAAATTATGGAGAAGGAATCTAAACCGAGAAAAGCAACGCTAATGAGACGTTAGAACAGTTAAACGTTGAAACACCGAAACTATTATCGCACAAATGTGACGCATTGCAGCCTGCTACTCAAAAAATGCATTCGAAAAGAATGTAATTGATGGTGGCACGCACTGATCTGATTTTCGCCATCTCATCCAAAAAGCGTGCTCACTTCATTTCATTTCATTTCATTTTATTTCATTTTATTTTATTCGGACATTTCCGCAGAAATGCCCACGAAGGGGGCAAAAGGAGAGTGTGTCTCCTGACTTGGCCCCTCTTCGTGAGGCACCTCGGGCAGGTAGAGCAGGACAGTACAAAACACCATAACATATTTTGAAATACAATACAAGTTGAAAAACAGTGAATACTATAAATATTACATACATTACATATTTCCTTTACATAAACTGTAGACTTGTGTTATGTTTATTACATTGTAAATTCGCTTCTTAAATTGTGTTATGTTTTTAGACTTGCAGATATGATTCGCATGCTCCTAAAAAGAAAAATAAAAAGAAGGAAAAAAACTTTTATCGACTGCACACAGGGGGCAACTTCAGCAGTTGGAGAGTTTTCTGGCGGAGTGGGCGCTTCGGGCTAAGGATCCTACCACACCGGCGGCCGTCGCAGCGTCTCTCTACAAAGAAATAGATGCACTCAAGGTCTGTATTTTCTCTGATGACTAGCGTGAGGTAGCAATGTGAAATGATGGTCACGAATGACTCCACAATACAGCACACCATCTTGGGGGTACATTCGGTAATTAACACATTCTTCATTACATGCAAGATTAGTGGTGTAATCAAACTTCAGTTCGCTCATCGTTAACCTTGCAGCCGCATCTTAGTCGACGTGATATTGAAATGCTGTGAATACTTGGGGCACGAACAGCGACATTTCATACGCTTGTTTTCAGTTGCTTTGTTAAGCCATTTCAGTAATTTTACATGCTGCATGCACACGTAGTGTGCCTTCTATGACCTCGACGCAATAAACAAGGTTGTACGAGAACATACTGATTTTGTTTCCCCGCAAAGCAAAATTAACGTGAGAAAAGTGTGCTATCGCAGTCAACTCACCGACCTTGTTTCATCGTATGTCGTATTTCAGTCGTGTGTTAAAAGGGGGGCAAAGAAAGAAAAAGAGCAACCAATCCATGAACATCCAGTGTACGTGTGGTATGTATCTCACGCACGTTGAAACAGAGGGTAATTACGCTGAATGCGATACAACTGAACTTCCAGGCAGCGATGGCCGTGCTGCCGCTTTGCCGTGGGGAGGCTTTCTCGGCACAACACTGGGCCGAGTTGTTCCAGTTGGCTGAGGCGGCTGGCCGGCCGCTGGAGGAACTTCGATTATCGCACGTGCTCGCCATCGCGCCGAAGCTGGCTGCCAGGAAAGCTCAGCTCCAGGTAGGGCTACAGACGGGGACAGAGGTGGCAAAGTCTCATCTCAGCTCTGATCCCACTCCCTCCTCTCATTCCCCACTCTTGACTGTATACCCGTTTGACACTTGGCAGGAGTTGAACACCAGGGCCCGCTCGGAGGCGAACATACGGGCCATTCTGAGCGAGTTGGATGTATGGGGAAGCACAGCTCGCTTTTCTCTCGTGGACCACACTGATTCAGCAGGAAATCATGTGATGATCGTGCAAGAGTGGGCGCAAGTGCTGGGAAAGGTGCGCTATCTCGCTTTACACGTAGTCTGGCGAGTTTATCAAACCATTTTCACGCTACCTTGGAACTCGTGCAATAAACAACGCCAACAGTCGCATCCCCTTCTTGTGTGAAAATTGTTGCACGTAGGTCAGACGGGAAGATGCATAAACGACCTGTTGAGGGAACGTATAGCGGTAAAGTGAGAAGTGCGTAAAATGATGGTTTTGTTAGCGTTTTGCTGCAAAACGTGTGCCAACCACAACTATAAACCACTGCCATGCTTGCTAGAAGTAAATCTAAATCTGTAAGGTAGATATTAGAAGCAGATGACATCCTTTCTGCAGGCGGAAACTGTATCAGCAAGCCGTCAGTGTCATTGTCTGCCAAAGAAATTCAGTATTTTTTACGCATGACCCGAAGTTGTAATGTGTAAACTGTAATGTCCGCCGGTTTCGCTGATATAAGACTGGAGGCCCTCTCCATGTTCGTGATTTGTAAAACGAAAGCTTGTCTTTACTGTCACGTGATTTTGTGTGCATATATGACCGATCCTAACAATAAACTTTCGTTGTTGAAAGTTTGCGCTTGTCTTCATCTTGTACTGTTTCTTTGATTAACTATGCGTTTCCGCGCTATGCTACAAGCCAACTTACGATGGACAAACAATCCAATTCTGGTTACCTTGCCGTGATTTAAGAACAATCCAGACAAGTGCTCTTAAGCACCTCTTATTTACGCTTCCGCGATCGCACAGGTCGGCGAGCTGCAGCTTCTTGTGCACTCGCTGGCCGAAGCGTGTCGTGGCGTGGGATCCAGCGCCGGCCTGGCGGACGGCGCAGCTCTGTGGGAGGAGCGGCTGGCGCGCTTGGAGCCCACGCTGCGGGGTCTTCAGCGAGTGCAACAACAGTGGCTTCAGCTGGAGCCACTCCTGGGGCCTCCGCGCTCTTTGTTGCCCGACCAGGCTCCTCGCTTCGAGGCGGCCAGCCGGCAGTTGAGGTACGCGACGACAGTCCGTTGCCGTAATCGAGAGTTCGACGAAAACTCATCGTTGCTGCATGTACAGGTGTGCACACGGAGGAGAGGTAGGGACGCAGTAGGAGTGCTGCCCCCCCCCCCCCTATATATATGAGGGTGGGGGGCGCCAAGCCTGTCCTATACCTTTACTCAGTGGGGCCTCGGTTATAGTCATACAGGTTTTGAAGCGATAGTATGACCGTTTAGTTCCTACACTTCTGAAAGCGGGGATCAAAGACAGGCCGTTATGAGAAGTGCGTCATCGCTTCAGTTTTCCATCTATTTCTGTGAAGCTCGTTTTACTATTCGGAGTCGACCAACGGGGAGGAGTGGTGCAATGAACGCTCTCTTTTCACCCTCTTACAATCAGGTACTGGATAAATGCTGGCACTATCCAGCAAACTAGATGGATAATGTCCGGTTATGCGGCTATATCGAGCACTTTAAGCAGGACCTGATTAAGACTGTAATGTAGAAACTTGCGCACGCATATGGCTGCGCGCTTGTGTTTGCACAGAAGTTCACCAGCTACGCAACAAAGCAGCTGCCCTATACCAGCAACGTCAGGCATCGGGCCGCATAGTACATGTAAAATCGCCGTGTTTGGCTTGAGGTGGTGCAGTAAAGTTTGTAACAGGCGGGGTTTTATGGTAAGGTCTGGTGCGTCTCATCTATAGAACCCAAAGGGACACTTCCATCCAAGTAGTGTAGCTGTAGGCTTTCTACATTGTCTCTCGCTTAATAAGGTGCAACGCAACGCGGTACTCACGAGTGCCGCGTCTTCGTAGGACGTTGATGGCTGCCGTGGCCCGAGACGAAAGAATCGTGCTCGTGGGCAGCATGGCCGAGACGCAGGCCCTGGACTCTCTGGCCGACCAGTTGAGCCGCTGCCAGAGGGCCCTGCATCAACACATGGAGGTGCGGTTTTAGTTTGCATCTGTTATCAAATGGCCGAGACAATTTTACCTCTCTTTCAGTAGAGCAATGACTTACTTTTAATAGTGTGCACACTACATCGTGCAACCGAGTTGGAACATTCTTAACAAATAAACAGTCGTAAAAAAAAGGGCTGGCGTGACACCATACGGGAAGCTCACGCAAACACAATCAGTAGGCTGTAACTCAAGAATAAAGGTGAAATAAGCGCATGTGCATGCAAAGGAGGTGTTCACCTGAAGATGGCGGTTCCCGTGTCAGCCTACAACATAGTTTGACGAACTTTACTTGCCTATACGAATTCTTTCGGCGAATAAGTTTACCATTAACTTCTTTCGTCCTGCCGCTGACTACGCAAGTACCTAGAAGCTCTGACAGGACGACTGTGCCCTGAGCATGTTAGAACCATTCAGTTAACTGAAGATTCAGATGTGTTAGCCGGAATCGCGCCAACCTGCAGTTTCTTGCCAATGGTGCGCAGGACAAGCGTAGTCGCTTCCCTCGATTTTATTTTCTGGGAGACGAGGACCTGTTGGAGGTACTGGGCAACCGTCCAAGTGCGGTGGAACCCCACCTGCGCAAGCTGTTCGCTGCCGTCCACCGCGTCGAATGGGGCGACGACTGCGTCACGGCCGTGCTTTCACCTGAGGGTGAGCGGCTCCTCCTAAGCCATCCGGTGAAGCTGACACCGGACCCGGAGGTAAGCGCTTCAAGCTTATCGCATAGCGTTGCGCACAGCTGCTTATGCGTGTCACCACAACGACCAAGTTACCGGGTTTCCCATCGTCGTAATACTTTCGAGTTACAGGAAATCAATGTTTGATACTGTCCAGCGACCACAGTTACATGCAGAGATTTTATAATGACGTTTTAAATATGAGAAGAGATATAGAAGTTGCTGGAAAACTAAGTAATCATTTGAGTGGAGCGCTTACTTGGGTACTCGTGATTCGGACTACCAGATTGTGGTGGAATACGTCAATGATTATGCGCGAAAATACTCACGCGCAAATGTTATGCGTTATTTTAAACAAATGTGCAGTGTATTGGCCCGAATTGAATTCAGGTGGTGTCATTGTTAATCGTAGCGAATTCATCGGGGCTTGTTTATGTATCAGAGAAACAGAACATGGGACCACGGCAAAAGAAAAAAAATCTGCTTAACGCAGAGAATCGTTTATATAAACAATGGTGTTTCCAAGATTTTCAAGGCATCACGACGACGCTGTTCTCTCAGAAGTCACGGGAACATTAAACGTGGAAAAGATAGCGTAACATCAAGAATTGCAAGCGAATGGAAAGCATAAATGGAGGTGGACGGGAAAGTGGCAGAACAATGGTGTGTATTATCACCGGATGCCAATACTGAAGTGTCCCTTATCGTCAAAATCAGCAGAAGTCAAAATATTTTTGCACACTTTCAAAGGTCTCGCCACTCTGAAGCGAGTTGACTTGCATGTTGGGGGTCTTTCTAGGTTTGGCTTGGTGCTCTAAGCCAGGAGATACGTTCCACTTTGCGAACATTGTTACGGGACAGCATTACAAGTCCTGGTCCAGACTCTTCGCTATATCCATCGCAGGTATGTTAACATCTATATATGTGCATGACGTCAGCTTTTTGCAACTGTAAGCATGTTGAAGCGCACACGCGCTGACACGGATAAACGCAATTAGCTGCACGTACAAACGCACGAAGGGGAGACAGAAAGTTAGGTGGGCGGCAGGATGCACAGCTTTATTGGCGGAGCATGAGAGAAGCATTTGTTTTGATGCATAAAACATTAGAATTTAATTTTTCCACATCGATTAAGCCATATTGATACCTGGGGTACTATTGACCAAAAATCACGATTTAATTATGAGGCATGCTATTGCAGGGGGCTCTGGAAATTCTGACCATTTGACCTTTAACGTGTACTTACATCGCACAGTGCAGGGGCTGTATTCCGCCTCCATCGAATTACGATCACCACGGTTGGCACTCAACCCGCAATTTTCGGGCCACCATCAAGCGATTTCGATGAAGTTGTGAGCACAGAGGGCGTCGTTGACACTCGCAAGGAATCGCAATACTAAACGCAGTGACCCGTCCCCACGCTGAATGTGGAAAATGCAAGGTTTCAAACTGGCGAAGGCCGTGCGAGACTCGGCATAGACGAAGGCTCGTGCGTACTCTATCATCATCATCATCATCATCATCATCATCATCATCATCAGCCTGACTGTGTCCACAGCAGGACAAATGCCTCTCCCATTTTCCGTCAGTTAACTCGGTCCTGTGCTTTCTGCTGCCAATTTATACAGGCAAACTGCTTAATATCATCTACCCACCTAACCTTTTGTCTCCCCCTAACCCACTTGCCTCCTCTGGGAATCCAGTTAGTTACCCTTATTGACCAGCAGTTATCCTGTCTACGCTATACATGCACAGTAATGTACAACCACCTCGGAAGAGAGCAGCGCTTCGAGGTAGGTAATAGTCCACTTCAAGTCGTAAAAAACTGTCTACTTAGTGCAGGTAATAACCGCGGAGCCGAACCACGAGATTGAAGTAACTAAAAGAATAAGAATGGGGTGCATGGAGCACATTTGGCAAGCACTCTCAAATTATGACAGGTAGATTGCCACTATCCCTCAAGAGGAAGGTATGTGACAGCTGTATCTTGCCGGTACTTAGCTACGGAGCAGAAATCTGGAGGCTTACAAAGAGGAATCAGCTTAAATTGAGGACGACGCAGCGAGCAATGGAAAGAAAAATGGTAGGTGTAACCTTAAGAGACAAGATGAGAGCAGAGTGGACTAGAGAACAAACGGGTGTTAAGAATATCATAGTTGAAATCAAGAAGAGGAAATGGACATTGGCGTCCTCTGTAGCAAACTTTAAATGCTCATTGAACCGGCGGCAGGTGGTGTGCCTGGCCGAATGGATTCGGTTCACGGAAGCGTGCGAGGCCGCCCTGGAATCAGGGCGGTTGGCGCAGCTCCTGGACGAGGTACGCGCGCAGCTGTCGGTCCTGGCTTCCGCAGGAGCGAAGATGGGCTCCCTGCACGCGCTGCTCATCGACGCCATTCACCGACTGGCCATCATCGAGGAGCTCACCGCCCTCGATGTGCGCTCGGTCCATGACTGGCACTGGCAGAAGCAACTCAGGTACTCCCTATAGGCGTGGCCGGCAATGATTGGCCCGAGCGAGCCCAGACGCACGCCTCAATTACCCTTCACTGCTCAAGTTATATGCCATTTTTCACTAAGGTAAACTTTTCGCCCCACTGCAAGGTAACAAACTAGACATGTGCCTTGTTAACTTCCTAATCTCTTGCACATACTTTATGGTACTAAACTTTGTACGTTGACTCAAGGCCCATGCATCAGCGATGAAGTCGGAACCTAATTGATTGATATGTGGGCTTTAACGTCCCAAAACCACCATATGATTATCAGAGACGCCGTAGTGGAGGGCTCCGGAAATTTCGACCACCTGGGGTTCTTTAACGTGCACCCAAATCTGAGCACACGGGCCTACATTTCCGCCTCCATTGTAAATGCAGCCGCCGCAGCCGGGATTCGAACCCGCAACCTGTGGGTCAGCAGCCGAGTACCTTAGCCGCTAGACCACCGTGGCGGGGCAGTCAGAACCTAAATGGCATGACTTACAAGTTCGGTCATCACATAAGCTCTGAAATATTAGCGCGCTTTTAGGCGCATAACGAAGAGACCTGCGTCTTATATCTCAGCAGGATAATACGATGCTGCCCTGCTGCAGGTTCTACCTGCGCGACGGACGTGCTGTGGTCAAAATGGTGGATGCCTCTTTCGACTACACGTACGAGTACCAGGGAAGCGCTCCGCGACTTGTGTACACGGCTCTCACCCACAAATGCTTCGTCAGTTTGACCCAAGGTGAGTTCTACTTAAGCTGTATTTTAGGTGGCGCTTGTTAATCCTATAGTGTGAAGGCATGCATTTACTACGCACGGGGGACGATTCGCAACCACTAATTATGTCCAGGAAGAATTCTCTTTAGCATATTCGCGGTTCTCTCATTTCATGTTTCATTCCATTCATAGTTCATTCAGGATAGCGAAGTTGGATACCTTAGGTATTTCTGCAAACTCAGAAGTGCCGTTATACTTCTCTACCTCAATAGACATTGATTCTTACTTGGTTACGCACATATTGTGTATCATAATAAACGTAGATTTAAATTTGCTTGATCAGGACATCATTACTATTACTCTGTTAAGATGAAACAAGTTCTTTGTGTTTGTGCCGTAGCCCCTCTCTGGGCTATAGTCTCTTTATTGCTCTCTGTTAACTCAGAGGTCGGTCGCGTGGGTATATGTCCGATAAATGTAAATTGTGCTGTACCACGGAGAAAGGAAAATGGGGACTTGAATTAGTTTCCCTTAGAATATCTCGTAAACTGGGCGGAAATGCTGTAGTCCCATGTGCTCAGATTTGGGTGCACGTTAAATAACCCCAGGTGGTCGAAATTTCCGGAGCCCTGCACTACGGCGTCTCTCATAATCATATGGTAGTTTTGGGACGTTAAACCCCAAATATCAAATCTATCTCGTAAACTGGAGCCAGCACCCGAAATGTGCCAACGTAATAAGAAATAATTCTCACTTTACACCGAAACATTCTTCAGGCGCTCCTACTTTGATCTTTTGTGGGGAGCAACGAAACGCATTGAAGCGTGTGTCATTCTTATCGATGCGCTCACAGGTATGCGGCTGGGAGTTGGAGGTAATCCATACGGACCAGCAGGCACCGGGAAAACGGAGTCGGTCAAAGCGCTTGGAAATGCTCTGGGGCGACAAGTGCTCGTATTCAACTGCGACGAGGTGTGTATCTGTGTCTGTACCAGATAACAGGCCCGCATTTGTAGTGGTAGAAGAATCAACTTCGTAGTCTGCATTGAACTATCAGCGTCAAATGAAACCCGAACAGCGGCAAGTCTTCGCGATGGTATAGTGGACGTCGTCCACTTATCACTACAAACAGCCACGCATATATGCGCAACGCTGCTGAACAGGATGCCCGTGCATGTCGATGGTGATAACTGTACGGCACGCACTACACCATCGCAAAGGCTTGCCGCTGTTCAGGTTTCATTTGACGCTGATAGTACATATTAGTTCCTTCGCGGGTAGCTTTGACGCACGTATAAGCTTACTCTTCGGTTCAGCACTTGTTTACAGCCAGCAGTTTAAGCAATCATCCTTGATAATCATGCAGTGAATGTATGGCTTATGAAACCAGGACGCTTATAATGATGTGGGTACGTCAATGATGTGGGTACGTTAGCTGATGTGGGTACGTCAATGCATTGACTAAAAAAAGAGTGCTCTCGTGGAAATGATGCCATCATGCCAATGCATTCACGTATCTACCCTCATCCCAATTCTTGGTTATTCGGTTTCGTTTAGGTTAAAAGAGAGAACGATAGACGTCTGTCAGCTTGGTTGGTTATATCATTAGCTGGATTTAAAACACGTAGAGCATGGACGAACGCTCGCTTGGGCGCCTGTTGGTGGGCCTGGCCCGTAGCGGTGCCTGGGGCTGCCTGGACGAGTTCAACCGACTCGACGAAGGCGTGCTCTCGGCGATGGCCGCGCTCATCGGGGACCTACAGCTGGCGTTGCACCACGGAAAGCCACACGTACGCCTACTTGGCTCGCAGGTATACTGTTATACTTGCACATCCTTGAAACATCCTTGAAAACCTTTTTCACGTGTAATCATTCAAAGGCTGCTTGGAGAGAGTACGGCATAACTTCACCTCATCTCGCAGTCGAATTTTACGCCCACCACTGACCTATTTTTTTTTTAGGGACAAAGCTCTTTAAGCCGTGGGTCATCCGTACGCGATGTATTTAGTGGTAGTGGTAGTAGTAGTAGTAGTAGTAGCAGTAGTAGTCGGAGTAGTAGTAGGTAGCCACCTCTCGCTTAGTCCTTGAAGTTCCCGTTGGATGGGGGTACTTGTATATGGTGAACATATCATGAAAAGATGCGAGATTGAGGCACTTCGAGTGTTCACTACATGTACGGGCAGACAGACAGATGCACGGATGGACGGACGCATCAACGAACGCAGGGACGTACACATGGACGGACGCATGAACGGACGCACTAACGGATGGACACACGTATGGACGGACGTGAGGTCGCACGTATGGTCGCAAGTACGGTCGCACGTATGGACGGTCGCACGCACGGACGGATGTACGGATGGACGAAAGCAAAAATGGACGGACGGAAGCGAGGACGGACTGATGGATGCTTCACCCCACTCATTATCATTAACTGCGTGAATATCCTGTTAATTTTTTGTGGAACGTGTGGCGCAACGCATTGACGTGGTCAGCACCAGTGTTTGGGCGCCATACCATGGTTATATGGTTGAGGCAAGCTAGTATAAGCTTGTCGTCGCCCTTATGTTCATTGTTGGCATTGCTGTCGTGGGTATGGTCGTCATCATTATCGCCATAACTTTATGGCATTTCATAAAAACTTAGTTTCCCGCCCACTCAAGGTGCAAATAAATCCTTATTTGTGTGTGGGGCTTATTAACCACTACTTAGTCATTGATCATAAGTGGATGCTTCAATACTAAATGCTTTATATTTCACAGTTCTGTGTCTGCTGCGTTTGGCAAACCTACTCATGACCTTTATTCGCTGCACTTAGCCCATCTAATGCAGGGTCGCAAATTGCTAATTATATTTTCGGCTGTCTTGCAGAGTAGCTAACCGAGCCAAAGCTTGGTTAACCGTTTTGTCTTTCTTTTCTATCTATCTCTCTGGGCTGTCTTGGCAATACCTATTTTAGCATGTAGGACTATAATATTTCGTTTGTAAATAGTTACCAAGCATTTAATTCTTGGGCCATCTGTCACACCGAGTGCTGAGGCTACGCAGGAGAGCCCGGCTTTGCAAGCTAGTGCAAGGAATCATGAGTAACAAATACGTTGCTTCATCCGTAACCAAGCAACAGCATTTTGCAAGCAACCATCTTGCAGCGCGTCATCCTCATACCTCACAGCTCTCCTTGGAAATGTCATTTAAGAAACATTCACGAGGGTCACGTGTGCTTGTAATATGAGCACGTAGTGAGAAGCTTTGCTGTGCCACTTATTTTAGTAATACCTTCTAGTCCTGCTAATAATGTTCATGAATATATAGCCACATCACACTGCATTGCGCGTTTTACCTTCTTCCACCCCCCACCTCCGTCTTCGTTCAGGTGGAGTTGGACCGCAGTGCTGGGGTCTTCATCACCCTTAACCCTGCGGGAAAGCAATACGGAGGCCGCCAGCGGCTTCCCGACAGCCTCAAACAGCTGTTCCGGCCTGTGGCCATGGCGGTTCCGGACAGCGCAGACATCGCACGCGCTCTTCTGCTGGCCGGAGGATTCGAAGGGTCGCAGTCTCTGGCTGCTCGACTCGTGACAGCTTTCCAGCTCGCAAGGTATCTTGCTCGCTCACTCGTACTCAGATGCAGCGCACTTCGGATGTTTTCTTTCGTTTTACCTCGTCCGTGACGTAAGACAATTAACCCCGACCGAAGTATTCTCGTCAATACAGCGTTGCTTCTCAGACGGTCCTGCGCTATTCGTATAAGTTTTGAAGTGTCGTTTCGCAGAATAACGACTCGCTAGCGTACCTTAAAAGCTAGCCGCCTGGATTTTGAATATATAGATACATCTCGTAGTAAAAATTACCCCAGCCAGCAAGAATGGGACTAACTGTCTCATCGATACATATTCCGGAAAGTCATAGTAATGAAATAACTATGTCATAATATAGCTCACTGATTCAAAGAAGGGAGAGTGCACGGTAAAAAGTTCACGCATTTCCACGAAGTGAACCATGAAGAGTAGGCGAAGCGCTGGGGATCGTTCTTGCCGTAAATGACCCGTGACATTGCCCACTCGCGCACGTAAATGAGTGAAAAGGCGCATGTACAATGTTTTTTTGCCGTTGAGTCACCGCTTTTCACGCCCTCAATCCCTCAACTCCGGGGCAGCAGCTCGTCGGCGTCGCCGCTGCTGCGCGAGCTCTCTGCTCCACGGTAGCTTATTTTCTGCGTTGGCGCTGCATTTCGCGGGCGATGGTGCGTTAGCGTTCGTTTTTCACCCATCTTCATCGTCATGAGCGGAATCGCCATCGTCACTGTGAGCGCGCTTATTCTACATCGTCATCAATTTCATCATCATCGCCACCGTGATCACGGATAAGCCTAAACCTTAATGTGCTTCGTCCCTAAAACAAAATTGCTTTAACGCAGCGAAAGCTGACGATATACGAGCTCAGAAACGGAGCTAGGATGTTGTGTTTTCGATTGTCTGTTTTGTTTCCAGTATGCTTGGTGCTTCGTTATTGGGTAAAACATGAATGCGCCATTGTATATTTGTCAATATGAACCAATTGGAAAGATTAGTGATGAAAGAAAGAGGCGTCAACGATGAAATTACAGATTATATTACTATACGTTGGAATTCGCATAGTGAATTGAATATATTTTCTAAAGCCGGGTCGGTCGTCCCCTAAAGAGCATCAATCAGCATTATGCTCACCCGTAGGTCGCGAGGTCGAATCCAGGCTGCGGTGGCTGCATTTTCGATGGAGGCGGAAATGTAATAGGCCCGTGTGCTCAGATTTGGGTGCACGTTAAAGAACCCCAGGTGGTCGAAATTTCCGGAGCACTCCACTACGGCATCTCTCATAATCATATGGTGGTTTTGGTACGTTAAATCCTACAAATTATTACAAAAGGCAAGGTAAATTATGGGGGTTTTTAATGGGCCCTGAGTCCGCGATCACCGTATAATGATGATGATCTCCACCGCCATTGCTCGTACCCACTCAAAGGGATCGCAGTGGAGGCAACGTTGTCCTCATTCTGTACCCGCGCTTCCCTTGTTTTTCCTGGTGGTGATACTTCTTATCATTCCTCCGGTCTCAGACGAAGCCCTCTGGGCGAGTCATTCTTGCATCCTTCGTGTAAACGGCTTCAGGCGGGCATAAATCGTCATGGACGACAAAAGGAAAGATAGTGTATAAAAGATAGGAAAGGGCTGTAGCCTGTCGTTTCGTGTTTCGACGTGTTGAAGACGTACGTGACGAATGGTAAAACTTCATCCCATTTTTTGTGGTCGGAGGCGACGTACATTGACAACATGTTGATCAACGTTCGGTTTGTGCGCTCGGTGAGGTCGTTAGTTTGTGGATGATACGCAGTTGAGTGTCGGAACTTGGAAGCCCACAAATGAAGTAATGATTCGACAATATCAGCGGTAAATTGTCGTCCACGGTCACTTATTATCACGCGAGGAGGTCCGTGTCGGAGGATGACTGAATTCAACAGGAACTCTGAAACCTGGACTGCCGTGGCGGAGCATAAGGCAGCCATCTCGCAGTACTGCGTCAGGTAGTCGGCGCATACAATTATCCACCGGTTACCTTTTGAGGAGAAATGGTCCCATCAGATCAATGCCGACCTTTTCAAAAGGGGAATCGGGAGGCTTTACAGGTTGCAGGTGACCAACTGGACCCGAGGAGGACCGCTTGTGGCTCTGGCACTGCATACAGCGGGCCACGTAGTTCTTCATTGTCTTGCTCATTTTCGGCCAATAGAACTGCTCTTTCGTGCGACTAAGTGTTCGTGCGGCCTAGATGGCCAGAGGTGGGGTCATCATGCGTGAGACGCAGAACAGACGTTTGGAGAGACGCAGGAACAACTAGCAGAAAGCGGGCGCCCGTCGTGGACAAGATTCTCTGGTAAAGAAGACCATTTCGGACGAAGAATCGGCCTTCGCTTAATGAATTTCTCGCTCCAGGGAAGAGAGCTTTCGAGCTTAAGCCATTACGCTGCTCAGCGGCGAAAGTCGCGGCATCGAGAAAAAAGCCAGACGACAGAGAAGCGATAAGGTGGTCAAAGTTATCGCCTTCACAATATGTCGATGGTAGCGGCATTCTGTAGAGGCAATCCGCATCAGCGTGTAGACGGCCAGTCTTGTATGAAATGGTGAAGACATGTTCTTGCAAACGAATGGCCCATCGTGCGAGGCGGCCGGATGGGTCACGAAGGTTGACCATCCAGCACAGGGAATGGTGATCTGTGACGATAGTGAACGGGCAACCATAGATGTATGAGCGAAACCGTTGCACGGCAAAGACTACCGCTAGGTATTCCTGTTCAGTAACTGTGTAGTTGCGTTCAGGCTTGCTTAAAGAACAACTTCGGTACGCCACAACGTGTTCCTTCTTGCCAGAACGCTGAACGAGAACGGCACCGATACCAATGCCACTTGCGTCTGTGTGAATTTCCGTGGGCGACGAAAGATTGAAGTGCCGAAGTATTGGCTGCGAAGTTAACAAACACTTCAGCTTGTGAAAAGTGGCATCGCACTCGGAGGTCCACTGAAACGGGCTGTTCTTGCGTAGAAGGCTCGTCAGGGGGTGAACGACGTCCGCAAACTTGGGTACGAACCGGCGGAAATACGAGCAGAGCCCGATGAAGCTACGCAGTTGTTTCACAGATTTAGGACGCTCGAACGATTCAACGGCCGCTGTCTTTTGCGGGTCAGGTCTAATGCCATCTTTGTTGACGAGATGTCCTAACACCAATGTCTGTCGCTCGCCGAAGTGGCACTTTTTTTAATTCAATACAAGGCCAGCTTTTTCAATGCAGCTGAGCACGAGGTCTAGGGGAGTGTTGTGCTCTTCAAACGTACGCCCAAAAATTACGACATCATCAAGCTAACACATGCATATATGCCATTTTAAACCACGCAATATAGAGTCCATAAATCTTTCGAATGTCACAGGAGCATTACATAATCCGAATGGCATAACGTTGAACTCGTAAAGTCCGTCGGTCGTAACAAGTGCCGTCTTTTCTTTGTCAGCTGCGTGCATCGGAATTTGCCAGTAACCTGATCTTAGGTCGACAGATGAAAAGTAGGACGTGGAATGCAGGCAGTCTAGAGCGTCATCGATGATCGGCAGTGGATAGACGTCTTTCTTGGTAACAGAATTAAGTCGGCGGTAGTCAACTCAATATCTCCACGTACCATCCTTCTTCCTCACTAGAATGACGGGAGCAGCCCCCGGACTTGCCGATTCCTGTATTATTCCCTTTTTCAGCATTTCTTGGACTTGCTCATTAATGATCTTGCGCTTCGATGGTGCCACTCGGTAAGGTTTCTGCCTAATGGGATGCGCCGACTCGGTGTGGATCGGATGACGTATCCGGGACGCTGGGATTAAGGGCCTTTGGCTGTATTTAGAAAAATCTAACACTTTCGAGTGCTTAGACAGAACGTCGAGCAGTGTATGACGTTCGCTTTGGTCAAGTGACTTGCTGACCATTTGTAGCAATTGGGCATCTTCTGAACCTTCTAAGCCTAGATGTTCATTTTGGCTTGTAGCATCAACAAGCGCAACCAGCGTGGTACATGACTAGGGTCTAAATACTGCAAGTTTCATGCCGCCTGGCAGAATTGCAGGCTCCATGGAACTGTTCATTGTCCACACACCTGCCCGTCCATCAACGACTGACACTATACAATGGGGAATGAGAATGTTCTTTTTCAGGCATGCCGAGGGAATCGGTTCGAGCGTGGCGTCAAACGTGCCACAGTTGTTACTGGAACATGTCACGGGAGCACACACAGCAGAAAATGCGGGAACGACTGTATCCACGGAGACGAAAAAGATGCATTCCTCCGGACAGGAATTTTCCAAGAGCGCTGTTGGGAAAGTGCCGTGTATAGAAAGATGCCCACTTCTGCAGTCTACAGTTGCCCCACACTCACACAAGAAGTCAGTACCCAAGATAACGTCATGTGTAGACCACGGAATAACCGCAAAATCTGTGCAAAACACCTTGCCACACAGCGAGACGTCCACAGTACAATATCCCACCGGACACAATACGTCACCACTTACACCACGAAATGTCACCCCACGGTTCAGGCAAAACATCTCTTTTGGCCCTAGCAGGTTCTTAAAATTTACACTCATCACCGAGACTGTCACGCCTGTATCCACAAGTGCCATAGTAGCCACTCCATCGACAACTACACGACAACTACACAATCAATAAACATTGTGTTCACGCAGGGAGCTGCTGGTGCCCCAGCAACACTACGACTGGGGCCTGAGGGCGCTCAAGAGCGTCCTTCTTGCCTGCGGACGAATGCGGCTCGCTGCCGCACCTCCATCGGGTAAGTTGGCCCCTGTACCGTTGAAGCAGTTGCGCAGGGGTATATTAGCATAACCTTCCTAGTGTCTCTTCTGTGGCTGCTGTCGACTGCGCATTGAATTCCAGCCCACTACGGCTTCATTTTCTGGTCATGGACACAACGACACAGCTTCTTTGCGGAGCTAACTTAAGTTGCAGTAATATGTTCTTAAAGATTGCAGTGCTTGCGGTCGGTTTCATGGGCCACTTTAAGCTCTACTAGAGAGATGCGACATAGAGAACAGTAAAGGACAAAGAAGGTGCCGAAATGGGGCACATATATGTTTTATGGTAAATTTCCAACCGATAATTCGATCTTCAGAGCCTGCAGCGCTCCTTCCGTCGTTCCTTCTGATTTTTTTCAGTATTATCAAGTCTTAAAGTGGCCTGTTTCACCGCAACTTTCTAGTACGATATGTTGCAGCTTTTGCGAGACTAGGTTGTTCGAGGCTAAAGTTTTTATCTCGGTTGAGTAGGCTGACGTAAGCTTGCAAGCTTGATTGATTGATTGATATGTGGGGTTTAACGTCCCAAAACCACCATATGATTATGAGAGACGCCGTAGTGGAGGGCTCCGGAAATTTCGACCACCTGGGGTTCTTTAACGTGCACCCAAATCTGAGTACATGGGCCTACAACATTTCCGCCTCCATCGGAAACGCAGCCGCCGCAGCCGGGATTTGAACCCGCGACCTGCGGGTCAGCAGCCGAGTACCTTAGCCACTAGACCACCGCGGCGGGGCAAGCTTGCAAGCTACCGGCAGTAGCTATACACCACTTGCAACGGTTTGAACTGCTGTGCAGTTGAAACTCGATCCCACAAAAGTAATGAGTACGCTCGAGTTAATGCAGGCATTGAGGAAGTTAGTCTATTCGAGAAAAGCTTCTTCCGGCTCTTGGAAATCTAAAAATGCGATGTAGCATAAAACCAAAAGCTTTGTTGCCACCAATCTGCTCCTGCACACGTGAAAAATCCGAAAGCTCAGCCCGAGTGTGGCCCTGACGGGAAGACTCCCATGTCACTGACACAGGGCGCACCAGGTCCGGTTGACGCAAGCCATGAAGAGGGTTGTCTGACTCGATGAATGGCGAACGAAATGCGGAGACGGGAAGAATGAATGAAGCGGTTGAGCCAGTGGGCCGAGTCAGAAAACTGCGAAGAGACGACTAGTGCCATAAAATCGCGAAACTATTACCGTCGAAAGCGGTATCCGCTGCGCAATAGCGCTACCGACTGTCGATTCCACTGCTTCATGCATAAACACGTCGTACAGCCTCGTCAGTCTAAAGTCAGGATCATGAGTAAGGCACCTGGGCGTTTCAGTTCGATATCGCTGGAGAGCAGGCTTAAAGGAAAACCCGTCTCTGCGAAAATTGTTGGAAATCGCCGTTTTTTTTTTTTCCACTCGGCTGTTTCTCGAGAAGCTTCATCTTTTTATTGGATATGGTAGCTAAGCTAGTTTGTTAAATCTCGCTAGTAGTCACACTGAGCCCTACGAATGTTTCACGGAGAGTGGAAATTTCTGCGTAAAATCGGCTTTTGATAGGACCGAGTTCTAGCTGTATCAACTTGTGATGGCACATGAATACTCGGCAAGCAGATAAAACAAGGAAAGAAACATCGAATCGGTGCTAGATTGAGTTATAATGTAAAAACGACATATGATCACATCAGAGGCGTAGCCAAGGGGTGACGCGCCGGGCCCGCGGCCGCGTTTACGAAAGGAGTACGCTGGTCACACACAAAGAAGTAAGAATTGTGACAGTTCGCATTTTGTCGTATATACTTGTGCTTCCGTTTCGTGCATCTTCCTTTCTAACTGAACGGCACGCTTTAAGTGTCGAGCTGTGACAGTTGTTAGTCCGCGCACATTTTTGTATGCTTGTTTCGCGCGTGCTTTCTGCTTGAGGTGCGCTCTGCAAGTTTCAATCTGCATGTCGTTATTCGTGGGACTTGGAAATTTGTTGCTGTAGCATTCATTCCCTCACGCTCGTGGTGAAACAATGCACAATAAACGCTGACCTACTACCTCTGTGAAGACACTTTTCACTTTCGTGTTATACCGAATCCACGAAAAAGGGATCAGACACTAGATATAAGCACGAAATGGGGCACTCGACCATATCTGCCTGCGCTGCCCCCGCTAGATCAAAAAGTTTAATAAAGTGGAATGCTGGGTTAGTTGGTACAACATAATGTGGAAATATATGAGCGCACAAGGTATAAGCACTTGACATGAAAGACGCTTTCCTGTCAAGTGCTTTTCCTTCTACCTTGTGCGCTCATATATTTCCTAATTAGATCAAAAAGGTTCCCCCCCCCCAAAAAAAATTACTGCCTACGCTCCTGGATAATATAAAATGAATTATTGGGTCTGCTAAATGAAAAAAAAAATCGGGATAGTGCACTTGTGCTGTGTTTTTTTTTTCTTCTGTCAGGGGTAACAATACCCATTTCGCAGATCGATCAAACACGCCCCACTATAACCAGAATTCTTATGAAAATTCGTGTTGTGGGCATGCGCTGTGCTTGTTTTCGCCGATCTCGTTCAGACGCTGACGACCGCCATGCTTGGGAACAAAGCCTCGTGGTGCGGGCAGTGCGGCTTCAGGTGCTGCCCAAACTGGCGGTCCGCGACTGCAGCCACTTTGAGAGGCTGCTCCGCGACGTCTTCCCTGGAGTCCCGCACGGGGAAGACAGTGTCGGAGAGGACGAGCTCTCGTCGGCGCTTCGGGAGGCATACGTCAACCTGGGACTCACCTGGGATGAAGCACAGGTGAATTTTCTCTTGCATATGAGACGTGGAATAGTGGCCGTTTACAAACAAGTTCGTTAAGCAAAATTAAGTGAGAAACAAACCATTATAAAACACTATCCATGCTGTTTCTGCAGTCAGTTTAGGTGAAATTTATAAGTGAAAAAATAAAGGCCCCGTAAAAATCAAGAAACACACAAGAGAAAGTAAATACGCTGCTGAGCGGGGAATATTCAAATGCAGTGCGCATGTTTATAGAAGTAGTATACAATTTTCAGATTGCTCACTAATACGAAACGTGTGCGGAGCTGGGGAGATAGACACAACTCGGCAGACAAGAGTTGGCAGAGAGAGTGAGCTGATAAGGAAAGACCTCGACGCTATTTTCACTGATTCCCGGTGAAACAATACAAAATCATTTAGCGGAAGTGCAGAAGACGGCTGGGCTAGCCAATGAGAAAATGTTGCCGTCATGACTGGTCAGGCAGCAGTTTAGATTCGCATCCCAGGGCAACTTGCACGGCCGCTTTGTCTGCGCATTTCAGCGGTGTCTAAACAGGTGACTGAGCGCTATACGCTCACAGAGAGCCCATTTTTTATGACGGCTGTCTGATAACGACGTAGTAGTGGACGTTGCATGAGGTTTCGTATACTGACTGCACAAAGAAGTTGGATGACTCTTGGGGCCGACTTCGTTTCTCGTCACTTGTATGGTCAAAGCGTGTATCTACTGCATACATATCGTCGTGACTACCGGAGGCGTATTTATAGTCTCCGTTATGCCTGTTCCCATCGCAGGAAAAGCGAACTATCGGGATTGGCGAATGGTTGCATATGACCAGTATCTACCCGAAACAACGGGCAAGCAATTATTTCTTCAGCTGCCTTGCCCTATGCGTGATCAGCAGTGGGCAATAACGGGAACCTCGGTATGTAGTAAACGTCAGCACAGGCGCTTCAAGGAGACTTGTCTTCATCACGACGAAAGAGCTGGCGATGTCGGAGTCCTATCGCCGCTCTTGAAAGGTCGGTTTCGCGCTGAGGCCCACCATTGATCATTGTCAATCTCCGTTTTCCTGAAACTACTTCGTTTTGTACGGACTACGCTAAAATTTGCATCTTCGGGGGCCTCGTTCAACTGTACACGCACAATTGCGTGCAGGTTCGCAAGGTGCTGCAGCTGCGCGAACAGCTCTCCCAGCGCACCGGAGTGATGCTCGTGGGACCGCCCGGTTCGGGCAAGACGAGCGTGTGGCGACTACTGCAGAGAGCCCTGCACACGGCATCAGCGGGACGGAAACCGCCGCCGCGTCTCTGGTTGATGGGACCGAAGTCTCTGCCCCGGCATCAGGTGCGTCCCGTTCTGAAAAAATTATGCCGGGCTTCAAGAGTTGTGCATGCGCGTTATCAAACACCGTGCATCATTTTTACCATACGCCTGGGTTAAATTTGTTTGTTTACATGAATACTTTTATTTGTACGTCGCGTAGCACTACTGGCGTCTGCAGCAGGTATAGTAATCAACTTATCTATCGTGTTCACCGTACATACGAATATATTGGCAGGAGCAGAGCACGAAAAAAAAAAACTCTGTACAGCCATCTGTAATTCAATTAGACCCCTCTTCTATGGCACCTTTTTTAAGGAATTGCCCTAACAAGAATTTGCCGTGGAGTACAGTAGCTTTTCTCTAATGCCAGTTACACTAGGTATTCGTACGGGGAACCATGCACTTTTCTTACCGTGAACGAATACCGGGCAGTATTCGTTCACTATCTTTACAAAATTTCATTGATGCCGCAATTGCCCATTTAGAAAATAGGTAAAGATTGTGGTTACAATACCATAGTGATGTTTTCTTTTGTATTTCTATTTTATTGTTGTTTTGTTGTTGTTGCTCTCTTTGTATTAGTTTTGTATAACTCATCCACTCCTGCTATAGCCCCGCATTAGGGCTGCAGTATATTCAAATAAATAAATAAATATAGCTGTAAAAGCATGTACTTTTCTTGATATAGCTATAAAATCATGTATCGAAGCGCGCGAGCAAAACTTGTCGGGACTTAAACAGCACCCAGGAAATTCGCCTGTAGATGGCGATTCGTGGGAGCGTTTGGACCGTTTACAATGAACCATCATTTTTGAGACATACTTTCATTCTTGCGTTACGTTGCCAAATGGGCGGGCCTTGCTGCGTACATGGCTTTCACTTATCCCCCTCTTTTAAGGATACTAACCAGGTGGATTTCAGCTGTCGACAATACGCAAAACGAAGGTGTTCCTTATTGCCCCGCGCAATATATCTCGAGTTACTATTGCAACAAACACAGTGCATGCGTTTGCAACAACGAGGATGGCGTGAATAGCGGAAGTCTGCCGACGTGCCACCCTAGGGGGACTTAGAAATGTGGCAGCTTGGGCTAGTTGGTATGGCATGACGATAGTTATAGCGTGAGGACGAAACGACGTCGTTTTGTTCTCGCGCTGTAACTATCATCATGCCTAGGGGGACGTTGTTTGACAAGGTTTCTTTTGGCGTTGCATAAGTGGTTGTCAGACTAGAAGGGTGGTTGTTGCCAGATTGCCGCTAAATTTGGCTGAAAAAATTTCTTTTGTAGTTGTGGCTTTTTTGTAAGAGTTTGGTGCTATCCGCGGTGCATTTCTTGGCTGAAAATTTTTCTCCTGTAGTTGTGGCTTCTCCGTAAGCGTTTGGTGCTATCCGCGGTGCTTTCGTGAGTGCATGAGCGACGTTGGCCGTTTTAATTAACGGAATGAACCGGGCCTAGCAGAAGTCGCGCGTGGTGCTGCCGTGCAATTAAGAGGCCGTTTTAATTCCGTTTTAATTAATGGAATGAACCACGCATTACAGAACTCGTTTTATTTACGGAATGAACCGCGCCTAGCAGAAGTCGAGCGCGGTGCTGCTGCGCAATTAAGAGGCCGTTTTAATTAACGGAATGAACCGCGCCTAGCAGAATCGAGCGCGGCGCTGCTGCGCAATTAAGAGGCCGTTTTAATTAATGGAATGAACCGCCCATTACAGAAGTCGAGGCGCGTTCTCTTGCTGTGTGCGCAGCTGTGCGATTAAGATATCGCGTCTCAGTATTAGACATTACGGGGAAAACTGAATAGAGTCGCAGGAGGTGATGCGCTGCCCCCCTCCCCCCTTACTTTTCTTTTTTTTCTCTCTCTCAGCTGATCGTGTCGCGTCAACCGCGCGCTACGACGGGGGACGCTACGCTTCCCCTAGCTGTGTCAGTACAAGACATATCGTTCGGACTCGTATATACATGTGATGAATAAGCGTTCCAAGGCTGGTTAATCGGGGTACGTCGGATATGCTACAGCTATGTACGCCTGGAAGGCTGCTTTATCGAAGCAGATGGAGCGAATTAAGCGCGACTTGCGCGTACCTGTAAATGGGACCCGGCTGACGAGCCGCCGTCGCTTACAGGGCCCCACCCACAATAAGCACAAATTGTCTCTCAGCTCAAGAGCGCAGTATAAAACGATAGGGTGGGTACATAAGAATAAAATGGCACAATATATTTCACTACAAGCTCATCACTCACGATATGGCAGGGATCCCTAAACGGGATATCGGCGTGCGATCACCTCCATTATTCGAAGGAAAGGGTCTTTCACGTTGAGACGTGCAACGACCAAGTACGTCTCGAGAAGCAAAAAAAGGAACCTTGCCCCTGTCTACCCTGCATCGTGAGTGTCCCGCGGAGCTGGGACAGCTAGCTGTTTCCTGCAACCATTGTACCTGAAGTGTGGGTCTGTTCATTTTTTTGCCGGGGCGATTGTACGTGACGACTTACTGCATCCTGGGTCACCATAATTAAGCCGAGGTCCTTGCGAATTCCCCATCACTCGGATTTCGGCGGCCGCTTCTGTGCTGTTCCCGACTGTCTGCAGGTCGAACTGCCGCTCGAAGTGATGGCGTCTTCGACAGTCCAATAACGCGACGGCTCCTGAAATGGTGACAATGTACTTTGCACAACTAACGTTACGGCATTTCATAAAGATCACGATCCTAAAGCTTAGGGCTTGCGACCGAGATAGGGAGCACCAAATAAGGAAATTTAAGAGGTTTACGTGAGCAAGTTTGGCCATGTCTCGACGCCCAATGCACCGAGGTGGAGTACGTGCCCTGGGTGGTGTACTGTTTACGTGATACGTGGGTCACATCACGTAGCATCACGTAACGTCGTTCGCACTCCCGCTCCATTGCTGTGGAGAAGGAGGGGCACCGAAGTGGAGTACGTGACCTAGGTGTTGTACGATTCGAGGCGTCTTCGCCTATCCCGTATTTTCACACATATGCTCGCGTCGCGTCGGCGCCGTGACCCACCCCCTCTTTCTCCGCAGACACTCGCGTCGCGTCGGGTCGGCGCCATGTCAACCAACGTTAGAGGTCCGAAAAGGTTTTTTTATGTTTTTTTTATTCCAGGCGTCTTTGCCCATCCACTCTTTCTCCGCAGATGCTCGCGCCACGTCGCCGTGACCCACCCCCTCTTTCCCCGCTGATGCTGCATCACGTAGGTGCCCTGTCAACGTTAGAGCGCTCTATCCCCCTTTCACCTCATGACCCTTATAAAATGCCGTAACGTTAGCCATGCAAGCTACACTGTTACCAGTTCAGGAAGCGTCTCGTCATGGCCACACCACGGATAGACCCCAGCATTGTCGCAATTGCCGACATCATAAGGTACCCTGCCGCGGAAGAGGCCTTCCTTCGTGAAATCGGACTGTAGCCTGCGCCATCGCTTTGACCGGCAGCACATTCTTCCCGGGACGACGGTGTACAGCGACGAGTGGGCCGCGTACCAGTGCATACCCAGACTTGTGGATTGCGCAGCAGCGCCGCGCTCGACTTCTGCTAGGCGCGGTTCATTCCGTAAATAAAACGAATTCTGTAATGTGCGGTTCATTCCGTTCATTAAAATGGAATTAAAACGGCCTCTTAATTGCACGGCAGCACCACGCGCGACTTCTGCTAGGCTCGGTTCATTTCGTTAATTAAAACGGCCAGCGTCGCTCATGCACTCGCGAAATGCACCACGGATAGCACCAAACTCTTACGGAGAAGCCACAACTACAAGAGAAAAATTTTCAGCCAAGAAATACATCACGGATGGCACTAAATTCTTACGGAAAAGCCACAACTACAGAAGAAAAATTTTCAGCCAAGAAATGCACCGTGGATAGCACCAAACTCTCACGGAGAAGCCACAACTACAAAAGAAAATTTTTTAGCTAAATTTAGCGGTAGTCTGGCAACAACCACCCCAAAATCTGGCAACAGACGTATGCAACGCCAAAAGGAACCTTGCCCGTTGTTTCGGCCTATAGAAACTCCACTCGGCGGCACAAACACAAGCAGCCGCATGCATTCTCCCCAATCACCCTCTCTCTTGAAAAGACACAAGAAATAAACATGATTTTTCACATATCAGTGAATTACTCTTTCACGATACCAAAAAACATCACGCTTGCTGCAAGACGACGATTATTAAGAGATGAAATGCGCAGAAATATAGTGGGCGCGATGCTAGCAACCGTCGGCGTGACTTTGTAGATTATGATGGTGTCTACTAGGGCCCAGGTAGTCCCTAATTCGTAAATGTTTAATAAAATATCTTCTGAAAAATTCAGTGGCCTAATATACCAACTTTCAATATATTTTAATTGATCCAGTGTGGCCAAATTGCGTAAAAAAGCTTTGATATCTGCGGCGTCACCATCGTAGCTTTCAACGGAAGACTTCAATGTGAGACTTGTGGCATCAATTTTTCTTATCAATTAAATGAATACGTTATGTCGAAATCGATAATAATAGAGTTGTCGGAGCACATCCGTCCAAGCTAATTTATTGTTTCACTTTAGTGTTGCTTCAAAATATGCGCTGAACACTGTACGTGCATAAAGCAGACATAGACGCACACGCATGCATTAATGTCGTGCTCACAGCTGCTGGCTACTGTCCACCCGGACACCAGGGAGTGGTGCGACGGCGTTCTCACGGCCAGTGCTCGGGAGGCCGCCAGGGAGCCTCAAGGTGAGAACAACGCTATTCCATACAACGGCCAATTGGTAACCAGCAAACAAATTTATCGCAGCAATTTCGAAGAATAGTTCGCACTGTTACAATATGAAATTGGAGCAAGTTCTAACAGCTTCAAGTACACAGTATGTCAAAATCTATCAGCATTCCACCCCCCCCCCCCCCCACGCTGCCCACCAGCAGATCATCTGCAGCAATCGACAGTTATGCGAACATAAGTGGGCTTACTGAATTGCCAGAGGCGTAAAGGAGAGCTCATCGGCTGCCCATGTGTTTGGCCGAGTGCGTTTCAAAGTAGCACGCTGAATAGCGACGTAGACACGAAGTGGATAGAGTGGGTATGAATGACACGGATATCTTAGCAGTTTTACACTGCGTGCAGGCTGTTTCACGTGATCTCCGTGCTACGTTCACGTCGCAGCCTATAATGGTAACCTTTCTTTTTTTTTTTTTAGATGCGGGACATTTCTTGCTCAGGTCTGTGTCCCGCGGCGTCGACGTCCGCACTCACACTACGCATGCGCAACTCTCCTCCTTCTTTCTCTCCAACAGCTGCGCGTTACTCTCTCCACTTCTGTCTCACCACCTGTCTGCGCTTATCCTGCGTTCTCGCTTCTGCCGTCGCGGCGTATGAGCTACTCTCCTCCTTTAGTCTCCTCTCTTTCATAAATTGGGTAAGCGTTAGTGTTCGCTGCTTCGCATCTACACGTGGTTCCCTTTAGTGGGAGACGGTGTTATTATTTATTTTTTGTGGGGGTTGGGGGAAAGCTTCAGTTTGTTTCTGACATGAAGGGCCAAAAGCTTTATCTAGTGAGAGAAAAATCGGGAGAACCAGAACATGCTTATGCTAATACTATACCTTTTTGGAAATTTAACACCATACAATAAATATTTTGTTGGACCATACCATTGAATCTGAAATAATTTTTAATACCTTAGATCATTACCCTGCCTCTAAGAAGTACATTGATACATGCATTTGGAAGAAAGCGGCGGACATTGTTCCACTGTTGAAGGACGGCATGCGTAAACGTTACTCGCGCCTGCGCAGAGGTCTCCTGCTGGATCGTGTGCGACGGAGACGTGGACCCGGAGTGGGTGGAATCCCTGAACTCGGTCCTCGACGATAACCGATTGCTGACACTGCCGTCCGGCGAACGCATCCAGTTCGGGCCGAACGTGCACTTCGTGTTCGAGACGGATAGCCTGGCCGCAGCATCGCCGGCCACAGTGTCTCGCGTGGGAATGGTGTTCCTCAGGTACAGCATCGATCATTTGCCAGACGAAGTGCTCACAGTTCCATAAAAAAAATCACAATGACTCCTATACAATCGCATAAAACTGACGATGTATTCAGTCGATGTATTTATCCTGCCCCATTCGCCTTTGAAAGCTTTCTGAACCTAATCTCCCTGCCTTTCATATCTTCCCTTCCTCCTCTCCTCCTCCTCCTCCTCCTCCTCTGAACCTAACTTTGTCTTTCACTCTCTCCAGCATCGGAGGCACTAAAATATTTCTGCGCCTCGCATGGTTCTGTGCGCCTTCAACCAATTATTCCGCGATGACGTCCTCACGCGACGTCACCTTGTTGTCATTACGTAATCGCAACTTCTGGTGTGCTTTTGCGTCATGATGACGTCCGTTTTACAGGAGTGCTCACGCTGAATTTTTGTACACCGGCTGCACACACACACATTCGCTTGAGTATAGCGTCACTTTTGACCGACTTTTATTACCTATAGTCGGTTGCGACTTCAGAACTCCTGAGAGGCCCCGCCCATGAGACCGAGGCACAGCATCCAATCACCTCCTCGACTTAAGAAATAGTCCCGCTCTCGCACGCGGCAGTGTTCTCCGAAGGCTGCTCATCCGGGGCATGACGTCAGCCGATACTGCGCGCCGATTGGTGCAGGGCTTGTGTGCACCCGCATTCTGAGGAAGAAATACAGTGCACTTATGAAGTCGTGACGTTTTTCGTCATCGTTAGTGTTCATCCCTACGCCGGTCTAACGATGTATGGTCACGTATCACAAATAGTCAGGTCTCGCCAAATCTTGAAGAAGCCGAGGTTCAATTTTTGCATTTTATGGTGCCTCTAAGACTTCCATACATTGCGGCTATTCACTCTCGATAGTCACTGTCATTTCGTGAACGTCGTAACAGTGGGCTCATTCGCATAGGTCAACTGTCTGGCGACATGGAAAACGCCGTGAACTCGGCGGCATCAGCCACAAAGCTGCTTCTATGGAAGAAGTGCTAAACCAAAGAGCTAAGATTGTCGGCCAACGGAAGACCAACTGAAGACAATTGACGCTATCGAAAGGACTTGGGATTTCAGCCTCAGTTCTTTTTACCATGTTATTCATGTCTGATTAAGTGTCTGGGCGCAATAATGTAACACTTAATGCAGACGCGCTGGCTAATAGCTAGGTGTACAGCATAAATATCGCTGGAATACTAACGTCATATTTACACCGAAGAAAAACCGGTCTTGAAATTATCGGCATCACCTTATGATTAACACTCCTTAAGCGGCACCCCTTCAATATTGTCGAGTGCCACGCATACCATAACGTTTGCTTGAGGAGTTCCGCGAATAATTTGGTAAATATGGAACACATAAGTAATTATCGCAAAAAATTACAGTGGTAGTTGGCGTTTGCATGTTGGCTAATAGTCGCTGATAAGCAGAGTACGGTCACTGTGTTGTCGTTCGTGCAGTGCCGAGAACAGTCCGGTCAAGGGTATGGTCACGTCTTGGCTGAAGGGACAGCCACAGGAAGGCGCCGCAGTAGCGGACCTCGTAGAAGAGCACTTCTTTCGGGCTCTGCGCTTCGCCTTGCAGATGGTACGTCACCTCCGCACTGATACTCACCTCACAAAGCACACTATGTTATCGAGCATTCTCTTGACTAATGTCTTCTGACATGTTTTATCTGCGCGTGCCTGGGATACGTGCAAATGTCAGCGGGCGAATATTAACTCTACGTAAAGGATTCTTCCACGGCAGTCTTGTGGTGATGGTGCTCGACTGCTGAACCGAAGGTCGAGGGATCGAATCCCACGCCGCATTTCGACGGAGGCAGAATGCTTAGAGGCCCGTGTACTCGCGTTTAACTACAGGTTAAAGGGCGCCGGATGGTCCGAAATTCCGAAGCCTTCTTCGCTACGGCGTCTCTCATGATCCGATCGTGGTCTTGGGATATAAAACCTGAACAGTTATTTTTATTAACTATATATGCTTAGAGGCCCGTGTACTCACGTTAAACTGCAGGTTAAAGGGCGCCGGACGGTCCGAAATTCCGAAGCCTTCTTCACTACGGCGTCTCTCATGATCCTATCGTGGTCTTGAAATATAAAACCTGAACAGTTATTATTATTAACTATATAGGAAGAACCTGTTGGCATTGTCTTATTGGGTCGCCCCGCGTGTGTACAACAGCCTCAGAGTTTCACCTGATGGAGGATCCTGTGTGGTAGGATGTTCACTACTACGCGTGACGTAGTCGTAATCTTCTAGTTATGACAGCAAAATTACTTTGCTTGCTAAAAGCTGCTCCCTGTATGCCTTCACGTTAATAATGAACTATGTATACTGAACGAAAGCGCGGCATATCTTCGTGCGTTACAAAACACCACGTCTTATTAGAGAACATGCTCTTTGCGAAGCGTTGCTTGAAAGGAATGAGGGACGACAGCACTCTATAGGATGCCATTGAACTGTTTTTGTGAGCTGAAATTTAGGATGGTAACTATATTATCGTCAACATGCACTTAATTTTTGATAAGCAGGGATGCTTGAAATGTGACACACGAGTGTGTACAGTAAGCTTTTCAGCGGCAGCTGCTGGATGGTGGCACACTAAACTAAAGCTTTGTATTTGCAGAAGGACTTCGTCCTTGAGACATCCGCTACGGCAGTGGTGCGCAGCGCCCTCTCTTATCTACGAGACGTCAAGATCAGGCCTGAGTTCGCGCTGGCGCTGGCTCGAGGGCTGACCGCCAGCCTTGGTACAAGTGGAAGAGACAAGGTCGCCAAGGAGGTATGTTGCTAATCAGTGCGTGAGTGAGTCAATATGCCGTGCGACGATCCCGAAGGTGTATAAAATGTTCTGTGGCAAATGCCGCTGGCGCTGCAGCCACAGCAGGGCTAAATCCAGCAGAGAAGGTGTGCTGAAGACGGCACACGTCAAGCTACCATTCTAGATGTGGTTGGTAAAGCGCGAAAATTACGTGACAAAAAAAACAATCTGTTAAAATTATTAAAGTTGCTAACATCCCTCGCAACTCACATTCATACACTTTTCTTCGCACCCTCATCGAGCTGCGCGAGGGGCGTGATAGGAGCTTACCGTACCAGGATTTTGTACAGAACATCGCAGTGACCGCGCGAATTCGCCTGAGATGCCCTTGCAATTTTATACGTCGAATTGGCTTTTGTGTATAACGTAGGCTGGCATGCAGAGGAAAAAATGTGTGACTCGAGGCACGTCTAACATAAAGTGTGGCCTCTGTGATTAGTTCCGGCAGCCAAGGGCGTAGGCAGAATTCTTTTACCGAAGAGAGCACCAGCTTGATCTGAAGGGAGGGCAGGACAAGCAGATGTGGTCGAGTGTCATATTGTCCTTAGCATGCCCTGGAAAGAAAAAGGGGGGGGGGGGGGGAGGTACAGGCCCGGTGGGCCACTCCCTGGCTACGCAACTGCCTGAGCTAATCGCGGAGGCCACGCATAAAGTCGCTTGTTCTAGTGTATTAAAGAAGACACCTTCTCGTGGGGTATTATTGTGATTTTACTTGCAAACTTGGGTGAACAAAATAGAGCCTCGACTACGCGTTGCTTTCAATCCGCAGATTTTCTCTTGGATGAGTGTGTCAGCGCCCGACCCCAGCCGTCCCCTCAACTGCTACTGGGACAAAGAGTCCGGCAAGCTGACAAAGTACGAGCCACAGGTGTGTGTAGTGAGCTAACTCACTCTTGTTGACGATTCACACATTCTTCACACCCAATTAAGGTAAACATACTTATGCCTTAGTGTGCGGTCAATGTCCTTTGAGTCCCACAGGCGAGACGGGCTACCCAGATATTTTCACTCATAAGATAAATAATAAAAGTGAAGCTTGGATCGCAAACACTGCCCATTCAGATTATGTCCTACAAAGACACCCCAAAAACACTTAAGGATCATTGTTTGGTGACATCAGGAAGGTAGATCAATTGGATCGGCAAGGATCTCGCTGTTTAGAGAGAGCTGTATATGTGGCAATCAATTATTCAGCCAAAAGAGGGAATAGGTCTTTTTTTTTTAAGAACGATAGTTTTTCTTGTGATACTTCAAACAGGGAGGTTTGTTGCATGCTATTAGCAGCACCGCGGGTGAGTACAACTGTCCGGTGTAACAAAATTACTTCAGTGGGACGTATGTACAAACAAAAGAGCATAGGTACGATGTAACTGATAGCGCGGTGATACTATCACAGATCATGGAACAAAACCGAGAGAGGAGGAAACACAAAAAGCACTAAGTTTGAACAGAATCACATTTATTTGCGAAGAAAAGTTAACTTTATTTGTCCCCTTGCCAGTGACTTAAACGCGAAAATTTTGGTTCGCCTGTCAGTGTTAGGGATGCCAACCTATGACAACGTTTTATCCTTAGATTGACTCTCGAAAACTTTCTAGATATTCTTGAAAATCTCTTCATTACTTAGGCTAATTCAGTGCGCTCTGTGGCCCAATTTTTCGTAATTTTGGTAAAAGTAAGAACCACCACAATAAAAATCACTTCAGCTCTTTTTTTTCCTACATGTCCTATGCGTTTTCTTGTACAGATAGATATGTGGGGTTTAACGTCCCAAAACCACCATATGATTATGAGAGACACCGTAGTGGAGGGCTCCGGAAACTTCGACCACCTGGGGTTCTTTAACGTGCACCCATATCTGAGCACACGGGCCTACAACATTTCCGCCTCCATCGGAAATGCGGCCGCCGCAGCTGGGATCAGAACCCACGACCTGCGGGTCAGCAGCCGAGTACCTTAGCCACTAGACCACCGCGGTGGGGCCGTTTTCATGTACAGGACTTGCAGATTGCGCCAGGTGATGTAGCTGCAGCGAGAGATTTGTCATGTTCAATTTGCACACTCATCGAATGCCTTTGGGTCAACTGTGAGTTCTTAGTACCTTTCCTGCACATTAAGCTGGCGCGGTGGTTGTCAGTATTTAATTTCACGAATTTGCAATCTGCGTGCCACGATTTGCAGTAAACGTACACAGGCTGATCGCTACACCTTCCTTTCGTCCCTGCGATCAGCTTTTCGTTTGCTTAAATCGTTTTGTCACATCGTTCGCTCGCAGGAAAACGACATGATGAAAAGATTAAAGCCTCCAAGAGCCTTCTCGTCCCTTTTCATCGTGTGTTTTTTTTTTTTTGAATAATGAACCAGTGCCAGCTCACCCAAATTACAACCCTACTTTCGCTCTGTTTCTCTCTAAGCCTCCTAGTTCAGTGAATATATTTTTCACTGCAAAACCGAATTTCTCTTAGTAATCACTCAACGCACTCATAATAATATGTGCGCGAATGCTTAAGATTTACAACGACAAAGCTTCATTTTTCCGGTATCATCATACAGTGATCTCGCGTTGCAGAACTGCCATTGCCTTCACTCAGCCCAAAGCAACTGTATATGAAATAAACAAGAAGTAGCCTAAAGTACTGTTTTTTATGGCTTTTACAGCTGAAAAAGCGAGATTGATCAGTAATGCCAGTAATCAGGCCACGTAATCTAAGATTTACAAAGCGTAATAAAAATATCTAAATTCAACAAAAGACGCCGAATCCCCGTAAGACATAGAACATCCTTTAATCCTCAGATAAATGGGTGTTTAGAAAAAAGTGGGTAATGATTTCGAGTATTAGCTACTCTTCTATGAGAGAGCATTAAGCCATCCCGTGGGTCTAGTACGGCGTATGACGCCCTGTTGACAAAAATTGCGGCGTGAGCCAAGAGGACAATAAGTATAACTGCACGTCACTGTCGATAGAGCCATTAGTGGCAGAACGCTTCACACCTAAACCTATCCTTTGTTTCGAAAAAGTGGGTAACAATATACAGTACGAGGCACTCTACACTATGGGATAGCATGAAGCCACCGACGTTGGACGGATCCTGTTTAGAAGACGTTTATTTACACTATGTACAGAAAACAAAGATTTCATAACATTTCAGTAATAACACTTTGGAACATCTATGTACCAAGACAAACATCGCTACCTTGCAATGAAGACACCATTGTCCTAATACGCGTGACAATATTCGCGTACATGTACACAAGAACTTATTGTGATATCATGACTCATTGATTAGTATAACGATACAATAGATTCAACGAGCTGGCGTCACTGGAACTTGGTCTGTCCAACGGTTGAGCCCCCAGGCGAAAGTCTGAGCCTTGCTCATATATCATTTTGTGCCAGTCGTCGCGGGAAATCAGCCTACCCGAGCTTTTGGAGACTCCCGTGGTCGAGACGGTCGACGTATGCAATGCCATGGACGTGCTTACTCCGTGGCTGGCGTCTCAGGAGCTCGTGATCGTAGCCGGACCAGATGGATGCGGGAAAAGGTACGCCACTTCAGAGTATACTTTCTTATTAGCATCAAAAAACAGTCTTGCGATGTTATGCCATTCGTTGTAGAAGCCTAGCGGTGCAGTAGCTGCACTGTTAAGCTCGGGAACGCTGGTTTCAGTCACTGCCATGGTGACCGCATCGCAATGGAGGTGTGATAGATAAACAACAACAAGCTTACACGCAGATACTTTACCGTATCCCGCTCAGTATAAATGAATGTAGGGTTTCACACTACGGTGTTCCTCAATGATATAGTGATTCGGGCGCGTGAAAGCACCGAACTTAATTTAAAATTCGTCAGATCCCACGTACCTTGGGAATCGATGTTATGCGCAGAGAAGGTCAGTGTGTTGTAATTTTTTATTGAGCGAAACCTTAGGAAATGACGCTAAAGATAGGCACAAATGGTCTACGCACATACATGTGTTAAAAAGACACATTTTTACTGTGGCGTAACGATGCCAACAGCAACGTGGTTATTAGCAGCACCAGAAGCAGTAAGCTTATATGTATCGCTTGTGCCAGCGAAGATGGTGGCCCTGCATATTGCTAGATACATGAGGTTCAGTGGATAGCGCTTCTCTAAAATTGTCGTTAACCCGACGTGATGGCTGTATGATAGGCGTACGTACTGCTTATAGGATTGGATAGCCAGCACTGCAACCACAATAGACGTTTCACGTGTATTATGGCCTATTCGAAAAGCAGTAGCAACCAAGCAATGCTTCGTTGTCATGCAGAATACCGGGGTTCGATTCCTGCTCGGACTCTGAAATTTTTCTTGACATTCTTCGGGTCAACGCAGCTGGTGTCAGCTTTTAGGGGGCGAAGATTCTTATAGCGGCACCTGTTTGTCTCTCATAACCGTTGTAGTGCGTAACAACTATAACATTTTGACTTCCAAGGTGGTGCCGGTGAGAGATTTCTTCTGTGCGTTGTTGAAAAATAAAAAATAATGCTCAATGTTCATGCCGATGGCTGTTAATGGGGAATGAGAAACAGGAACATTCGGCTTTTAGTTAACGCGCATGCTGCGATCCCCATTAGCAGCCATTGGCATGTACATTGAGCACTATCTGACAAGCAAGGGTTGCTACGTTATACTCGCTGGGTGTAACCTCCTTAGTTTTAGAAAGGTTTAGCGAGTGTTGGGCCGCAGTGCCATGAATACAGTGAACTAGTATATAGAACCTCGCTGGGCGTAACCTCCTTGGTTTTAGCAAGGTTTCTATTCCACTTATTATAAACACATATACCATGAACTCGAGTTGGTTAAAGGTGGGAAGTAGGCCCGAAGCGCAAACCGTAAGAAAGTGTGCGTGTGTCACCTCTCGTTTAGTCTTTGGAATGTCCGCTGGATGGCGGTGCTTCTATATGGGGAATATATAATGAAAAGATGCAGGATGGTGGTACTTGGAGTGTTGAATAGATGGACGAACGGACACACAGCCAGATGCATGGATGGACGCATGAACGGACGCAGGGGCGGATGCATGGACGAACGCATGGACGGACGTACAAACAGATGCACGCACGGACGGGCGGATGGATGCGTGGACGGCCATACAGACGGACGCATGGACGGACGGGAGCAAGAACGAATGAACGGACGAATGCTTCGCCCCACTCTCCATCATTCACTCCGTGGATATGGTGCCATTTTTTTTTAACACTCACGTGTTAAAATTAAATATGCGTGCTCTCGCCGCTCTGCGCAGATATGAAGTGTCAGTCACCTGTAGCACATATATACCCGCATACCAGCGGCACATACCAGCCGGTGGGTATGCGCCCCTGTCTGACGGAAAGTATTTGACGACGTGCGCAACGGAATCGCCACATTATTCATGCCATGACCAGCGAGCCGGATTCGTCAAACGATGTCACCATCCCATAGCAATTTTGGTTTAGCCCAAGTTAAGGGGCTGATCACGAGAGTACCCAGAGGTAGGCGGCTAGATAGATAATCAGATAGATGGATAGATGGATGCCAAAAGTGCTTACAGTGCGCAAAGAAATGCTTCGTATTTAATAACTTGTGGCACATGCTCATCTGCCGTTTCCCGACTGTGCTTTGTTTCCATATTTTGCTCATTGCGTAACTCAAATAGATAGCTGAAAAATGCATGACAGGTGCATGTCCATATCTTTACTGCTCTATAAAGCTGGCCAAGCAAACGGGCCTTTGTATTCGGGGTCTCACGTTTAAGTCTTCAGGACATCACATTTTTAGGGACTTGGAGTGGCACGTGTGTCCGAGGGAAAAAAAATAACGGCATAACGACGGAGTGAATGTTGATGAGTGAGCGATGCTCCGGAGATACATCAGTGAACCGTGATTTTACCGTAAATCTTACCCAGTCAATCGTCATGTAAATACAGCGAGCACGCGCTGCAGCCGTTTTCCGAGCCCTCCACTCTACTGCCTTGTCTTCGTCACACTCGAAGCACACGGACTGCCGGCGAAGAAAGAAGCGCGCTAAAAAAAACGCATTTTAATTCAAGAGCAATCGCCGTCTCCTATAACACGAGAGCACGCATTGAAGAGGAACGAGCGTCGCAACACCATCTAGTGAGCAATCCGAGTACTAGTAGTGAAAGTGCCACAGCGTTATCTAGGGAGAGCGCTGAGTACTAGCGGTGGCTACTGTAACGCAGGACATTGCCTTAAAAAAACCTGCGCTGAAACCACTGATACTTTTATAACAAAGCTGTTAGTGGTACGAGAAATACAAGACTGCTGGAATGCGATTTCATGACCGGTTAGATTAGGACGCTGTTCAGTGTCATTTCCGGTCAATTTTTAGCCCTCGTCGTGAGCCGCATGCAGGGTTCGTGCGAGCCCTTGAAACCGTACCAGTGCGGCCTCTAACAGCGGCTCTGCATTCTCAAAAAATCGCAGCATATCCATGGAGTGCAAGATTATGAGTTGGGCGAAGCATCCGTCAGTCCATTGTTCATGCGTCAGTCCGTCTGTGCGTTCAATGGTGCGTCCGTCCGTGCGTATGTCCATCCATCCATCCGCCCGTGCGCCCATACGTGCATCCATGCATCCGTCCTTCCGCGCGTCTGTTCGTGCGTCCCACCGCCTGTGCGTCCGGCCGTGCGTTCATCCGTCCGTCCGTGCATCCGTCTGCCTGTCCATCCGTGTGCCTGTCCATCCGTCCGTTCATCTAGTGAACATCATATCTAGTGAACATCATATCTAGTTCATCGAGTGAACATCATATCTAGTTCATCGAGTGAACATCATATGTTACTCATATAGAAGTACCGCCATCCAACGGACATTCCAAAAACCAAAATAGAGGTGGCACTGCCAGACTAAAGGAGCGGCACGAGCGCACTCTCTTATGGCCTGCGCATCGTGTCTAGTTCCCACCTTTCACCGCCGCCATACTCTGTACCAGAAGTTCCGTGCAGCAGAGCCAAGGCTACATGACCCTCGAACGCAGATTGTTGCGAAGCGAAATGTAGTGTCCCCTAAACGTAGCCCGTTGTTTGTCCTCGTGACATTTGCAAGTGGTCTCGTCGGTGGATTTCAAATGCGAAGCATTTCTTAGCGAACTTCAGCGACTTTACGCGTATCTATCTATCTATCTATCTATCTATCTATCTATCTATCTATCTATCTATCTATCTATCTATCTATCTATCTATCTATCTATCTATCTATCTATCTATCTATCTATCTTTCTAGCCGCTTACGACTTTTAGCTGTTCTGGCTGTTTCGATAATGGTATCGATACCAAACTTCGTATGCCATAACATGACTGCACGACGAGCATAAATGACTGGTCATAACATAAAAAGCATGACATGTATGTCATGAATGTCATGATTTGCATTTCATGGTGTTGCTGCTCTTGCGGAGGTTTCGTTCACACGTGTTGCAAAACTGGTATGGTATGACATGACTGCATGGCAAACACAAAGGCAGACCTTAACATGAAAATATTCACATGCGTGTCATGTAACAACGTGAATACGTGCCACAGATACGATACGCTCGTAGCCGTTTCGCTAGCTTCGTATATACCAAATTTCGTATTACGGGACGTGAATGGGGGACGAAGGTATGCGACTGGTGCAAAGAGGATAATCATGAGATGCATGTCATGTAACATGACTACATGCCACACTCAAGGCGCCACTACACTTCGACGTGACCCGTTGCGCGTGCGCGCCAGCGTTCGTTTCGTCGCGTAACGCCGGCGATAGCATGGCAGGCGCCAATCTGTCTGCCATATACTATCAAGCACGCGCTGTACTGCGTTGCTTTGACGCATGCGCGTTTGAGCGTGCCCGGCGTCCCTCCATTATGGAAACAGGCCGACGCAGTGCTGTCTGGGTAGAGCTGAGTGAGGTCATTGGCGCGAAAGGCAGCATGTTGCATTTCGCACCGGTTGTGGTCGGGTCGCGTTGACGGGCGTTGGTCACGCTGCTCGCGTTTTGCTAGCTTAGCGTCGCTGCATCAAGCGTGCATGCTCGTCAACGTTATGACGGAGCACAGCCACTGGATGAAAGCTTGTGCGCTTTGATCCAGCGGCCATGGTTGGAGTATATTGGGCCTTTCATGATAGGCTCGCGGCCGTTTCGCTTTCTTCACATATACCAATTTTCGTGTTACGTGGTGTCAATGGATGACGAAGGATATAAATGGTGCAAACTTGATAATCATGATACGTGTGTCATTTAACAACAGGACAACATACCACGTTCATGATGCACTCGCGACCGTTTAAAGCTAGCTCCACATACACGAAAATTGGTGTCAGGTGACGTGAATAGATGACGAAGGTAAATGACACGTCTAAATATGATAATTGTGACATATAATTCACCTCCGCCTCGTAACGTTGTGCTGATTTTAGTCACTTATCAACCTTCATCATTCGTGCTTCGCATATCATTAATGGCCCCCCTATAGGTGGGATCTGTCTTTTTTTTACTTGAAGGCTTCTCTGCGTGTTGAAGCTGTAATTTTTATGA